CCACAATGGCTGCGAATTCGTATAAGAAAATGTATGGAGATAAGGAAACTTTTTCAAATATATCGATTATGAGCTCACGGGTGTTCGGTGCCCGACTCGAAACATGTTAAGTGCTGTGTAACCCTCGCATCTGGGTTAAAAATAGCTAATTAGAAGTAGGTTTACTTACTTCCTGACGTGGCCACTTTTATTCCTTGTTGTACGCTCCATTTCTCCATACATTGTCTTAAAATCTTGCCGAAGTCATACGAAATACTCGTCGATTAGAGGATAAACCCTTCACTGAAGTAAATTTGCCCGACTCGATATCACTTCTGCGATGGAAGATGTTTCCAAAACAGTCGTTAAAAGGACGATTTTTGCACTGCAAAATACTTCCAAAGGCGCATTATTTCCCTCAGTTTTCCATCTGTAGTCCAGTAATGGACGCCATGGTTGCGAATGACACATTTCGGTCGGACACAGCTTCACAACTCCAAACCCCACAGAATCGCCATTTTGTTTGTTGCTACAACTCCAGAGATGCTTCACGGGATATAAACTAGGTTCCAGGCATTCAAAAATCCTCGATTAGCCTACCAGGCTTGGTTTTAAAACAAAATTGTCACGAAAATGTCACGAAAGGTACATCCGCGTACTGTTTTGTTGCTGTCAGCCGCTCGGCCGCGTATAAACCTAACATTTTCTTGCAAGGTGTTTAATTCCAGCTTTTTTCTTCGTAAAACAGATCCACAGAGCTCAAATTATTTAAAAAATCGCAAGGGATACGCTTTCCCTGGCTACGATAGTTTTTGTCCGCCATTTTAAAAATGAGATTCCGCTGACAATTGATCACGGGCGCGAAATGTCCACGATTTCTGGCAATGCATCGGTGACTGTGTGCATTTCAAATGTAAGTCTGTGGAACAAATGACTTCATGTTTTTGCTTTTTAGTGCTGGTTTTCAGCTGAAGTCTCGGCGGTCATGCTGGTGAACAAGAACAAGTGTTCCCCTCCGCTGGAACTCTAACTCTTTCTTCATGCAAATTCTGCGAAAAGAACTGATTTGGCCGACAGCATGGCCGTCTTGTCGCGAGGTTAAAAGCCAACTACTATCCCTTCAACCATAGCCGAAAGAAGAGAGAAACAGACATACCAAACATAGAAATAACAAGACAAAGGACACAAAGGTCGATGAAGATGTTAAAATAGAACAGGGCCAGATAAAGGTTGAATGATTTTAATGTTATGTTATGCATAAAATGACATACATGTACTGTATGTCGCTTTGCTATGAATGCCACGAAAAATCAATGGCACGGTCAAAAACGAAAAATTTAAGCTTTATTCTTTTGAACTATACATTAAACAAACAGAAAATTAGGATGACGGATACTTTCATGTCTCCTGTCACTTGTTTTCGCCGGATTTTGTCAGTCAAATGATGTCTGTAAACTTGTTATTGAAGCGGCACGAAGTAGCCTGCGTAGCGTAGCAGGCCAAGCAATGGGCAAAGAAAAAAACTGTGTGCGAGGGACGCCCATTACTATCAAGCACCTGCTACACAGGTTACTTCGTGCTGCCTCAATAACAAGTTTTTAGACATCATGTGACAAAATCCGGTGCTACACTGATCAGATCTGGAGCAGAATCCAGAACAACACCTCTAAATTGTATCCCAAACTTATGATGATGATGATGATGAACTTTATTCATGTGTCAATGTATTTAGCTGACGCTAATTGGGGACACAACATAAAGATAAAATAAATAATGAATAATACGATGAATAAAAGATAAGAAATAAAAAAGCTATAAAAGAAGCTATAGTATAATCCTATATATATTATATATACATTTACAATATGCTAAAATAATCAAAGCAATTCTAGGAACACGGGCACAACTTAAGAGGTACAAATTACGCACGCGGAGCAATTGTTGCCATTTATCAGTTCAGTAAGATCCCTACATCTAATATGAAACTTAAACCTAGATAGGCTGCTCGTTTCAGTGATGTTTTTATCTAGCTTGTTCCATAAAAAGGGTCCAAGATATCTAAGAGAGTGTTTACCATACAATACAGAATTAAATCTAGGAATATCAAAATGATATTATGATGATCGACCGCCCCACATGATCCCAATTTTATTACTGATGCGGTACAGAGATCTGGTTAATCTATTGTAGCTCGACAAATCATTGCTTTACCATAGTATACTGCTTCATACCTTATCTCACACGACGGAAGTGAGGATTACGGAAATACTGATCCTTGCAAAGCATTCAGTGGTACTTGTATACTAACAGAGTACTGGCCACGTTTTTTCCTTGCTGCAATTTGTCTTCTAGGGCAGTGGAGGACGAACCCGATGAAGATATTTGGAAGAAAAAACAGCAAAGCACCGACAACAAATTACGACAGTATCAGTGTCGCATCAGTGGGTGTCCCGATTATGCGCACGCGCGAGCGTCATCTGATTTTTGGCATATTGACTCGACAAGATTTCCTTCGGGACCGCTCCGCCGACGGAGATTTGTTGTTTATATTCTCAAGTAATGCTAAGTATGCACAAGACAAAGTTGCATGTCTTTTCAGCAGGGTCACTTTTCGCGACTTTCGTCGCTTGTTGAGGAGATTTCGTCGCTCTGTAAGTAATTATACGTCGAGCGCGCAACCGGAAATAAAAACCGTAGGTAATAAATTGGCCTCCTCTTTCTATCATCGCTTCGAGCTCGTTCTGGTCTCCTGCGCAGCAGCTCGGGCAGGAGTTACGGAAGGCTCCCCGGCCGGCTAGGCTACTATGCTGCCATAGCCTAGGTAGCTGGAGCGATTAGCGAACAAGTGCTGTAGTTTTTTGGCGGAGGAGCAGCATCCCTTCCCTGGGCACAAAATTCCCGTCACCTTCGCAGGTTAATGCAGCCATTAGGGGAAGACATTTAGGACATCCCGGTGGATTAGACTGATTGTATGTGTCGTGTCTCGATGTTTGCACAAGGTAACATGGTGATTTTGGATGATTAACTTAAAAATGATTGCGGTTTTGTGTGGCGAGTAGCCTTTGAAGAGGCTCTCTGCTTGGGGAAGGGTAGCCTCCCACGCAGGCGTTTTTAGGGGAGCTCGTTTTTCATCCCTCCCCACAAGAGGAGGGATGAAAAATAAGCTCCCCTAAAAACGCCTGCGTGGGAGGCTAGGGGAAAGGGTGAAAAAATCACGAGGAGAGGGAAGGGAAAGAGTGAGAGCATGTGTCTTGTAATTGCCGATCATCTGTCAGCAAGATCGGTATCTGTCAGTTGGATACATTGGAATGTAATCAATTTCGCGTGTAAAAAGGGGGTCGGTAGGCAACACACAACTTTTACCTTTTTCCCTGGCGGATAGATTATGCTCTGGATGGTTTAGTTTTAACTGAGAAAATGTGATTTTTGCCGCTTAATTCATACTAAGAGGTGTTTCTCGTCGGGTTGATTATTCCTCTGATGCAAAAACATTCATTGCGGCTAAAAAATCTCATCAGTCAAGCGCCAGAAGATCAGAAGACCTGTTTACAAGCGATTATTTGCACCAAATCGCGTGCTACTTGCCGACCAAAAAAGTGATGTAAATCAAACATGTGAACAGTCATTGTTCTCGCCAATAGGAGCTTGCATTAGGATATGTTGCACAGCGGGTGCCGTAGAACGACGGTCCCAAATGTTTGTCTACAGGCTCTCACCCTTTCCCTTCCCTCTCCTGGCGATTTTTTCACCCTTTCCTCTCCTGGCGATTTTTTCACCCTTTCCTCAAACAGAGAGCCTGTTCACAGGCTATGTGGAGAGTTGGCTAAAACGTAAAGGGTTACACAAGGAAATCTAAAATTTAACCGCCGCCCGGTTAGCTCAGTTGGATATGCGCCGGTCTGCCGAGCGGGAGGCCGCTGGTTCATGTCCCGGCCGGACCAACAATCAGGGTTCTTTAACCGCCGCCCGGTTAGCTCAGTTGGGAGAGCGCCGGTCTGCTGAGCGGGAGGTCGCGAGTTCGAATCCTGGCCGGACCAACACTCAGGGTCTTAAAAATAACTGAGAAGAAAGTGCTGTCTTTGTAATGACATCTGCAAATGATTAGACTTTCAAGTCTTTTCGGATAAGGACGATAAACCGGAGGTCCCGTCTCACAAACCTTGTTCACATATAACTCTGTGGGACGTTAAAGAACTCACACACTATTCGAAAAGAGTAGGCGACGTAGTTCCCGGTGTTGTGGTCTATCTTCATCACTTACATCATCACTCATCATGGGTTGGGAGGGTTCAGTGGGCTCATAAATGGACTGATAGCGGCTGCCATCGGCGCCCTTAGTATGCTGATGTCCGAGCCCACTGCAAAAAGCTATGTAAAGAGGACATGTATGTTTGTCCTATCAATCGCGACATTTACATTTACATTTAAATAACTGAGGAGAAAGTGCTCCCTTTGTAAAGACATCTGCAAACGGTTAGACTTTCTAGTCTTCTCGGATAAGGACGATAAACCGGAGGACCCGTCTCACAACCATTGCATATATAAATTCCGTGGGACGTTAAAGAACCCACACACTGTTCGTAAAGAGTAGGGGACGTTATCCCCGGTGTGGTGGTCTATCTCTCATGGGGGGAGGGACTGTTATGGGCCCGCAGTAATTGGCGTCATGCTGTTGCGGTGACCCTGCCAATAATTGGCGAATCTAATAAAATAAAATCTATTCTCAGAATCAGCTACGAGCCCATAAGCTACAATTCGAAAAAAGCATGACCACTTTATGGTCACTATTTTTTTAAAAAACACTGAGGTGGGGTCATTGGATCACCTAAACTGGACCTTTGATGGGGCATTTGAACCCCTTTTTTTATTGGGGAGAGGGGAATTTAAAAACACTGACTTTCCAAAAATTCAAATGCCCAGCGATTGATATTAAAGCTTCGATTGCACCAATAAAAAACTGGTGGGTAAAAGTACATTCTATCAACGATCACTGTGATACCCATTAAGATTGTTTTAACGCTAGTTTTAATTATAATTGTACAAATCACTCCCAATATATTTCACGGCCTTGAAAACAATTCACTTTTCATAAACAGTGCAAAATACATTCTTCTTTCTACCAAGAGACTTAGCAGCCATAAGTCAATCAGTTGAAAGCGCAAAACTATAGCAATGAACGAGAATATTTTACATCTTTTTAATACAAAAAAAGAAATAAACTTAAGACAATTATTATTAAACCGGATAAAACCAAATTCAAATCATAATTGTTTTATTCAAAAGTTGTGTTTATCATAAGAAAGTCTCATGAGTAGCACAACATCAACTGAAGCATCCTCATTCGTAAGCGTCTTTACATTTACAGTTCACAAAAATACTTCCTCTTCAATATATTATTGGCTTCTTCATAAAATAATTCCAGCCAGATTCGCTTGGTATATTGTTGGTATATGTACATGGATCAATAATTTAATCTGCATAATTAAATATGAAATCACATGGTTTGTACATATAAACTAGTACTTTTGAAATCATCAATTTTTTTTCAATACAATATTCATTAGCGCTACATGTACTAAGATCTATACTAGTTTTTCTTTGCTAATCCTTCCTAGTCACATTAAAATTTTTAGATTTCTGTCGTGCACGTGACACGGTAGTCCTTTGCAGCTTGATTAAAAGTGGCTCACATCAGATGAACTATTCGTCACAGCGTCATTTGGATCCATACTGCTATCAGGATTAAAACAGAAAATGGAAATGAAACAAACTGTCAACTAGGACAGACATTACTGTTATATATTATACTTCAATTAACTAGATACACTGAATTAAAAACTTGTACTCGTACACAAACTGGAGCCAAGTCGTTCTGTAACAAATAAAACTCATTCGATTTAACGTTAGTTTTGTGTCGAAATAGCAGTTGTAAGTTGCACCATATTTAGTACCATAGTTGTACAAAGACTACTATTTCGACGTTTTTAATAGTTAACAGGTTTTGTTTGGAAGTTATTCTTTTGTCATTTGCATTTCATGGCCTGTCTGTACAAGCAAATCAGACGAGCTCTTTCTATTCTTTCGAATAAGCGCTTCACTGAACGCCTGCATGACTTCGCTTTTTACTTCATTGATCTTCTGAAAACATGCCGAAATTTGGCACCAGAATTTTGCACGCTTTTCAGCACTGTCTAAAACAACTTGCTGGCTAAGCAAATGTCCAAACACTACTTGTCATGGACGATGCATTTTTTTTCTGCACCATTGTGCTTAACTACGAAAAGCAAGTAACTACCATTGCTTTTTAGGTTTCAAACTGCCAAATTGAAATTTCAATGAAAAAAAAAAGCCGTTTTCATAACAGACACAGCCGACTGTAGCTCACCTTTTGTCCCCGTCTTCGTTCTCTTCTGGGAGCGTGACGGCAGGAGGGGGTGGGGGAGGGGGCGGCGGTGGAACTGGCGATGTTTTGTTTCCATTCAAACCTGTAGGCGAGATCGTTACTGTTAGTGTACTCGGCTGGTTATCTATGAAAGGCAAATCAGTTAAGTGGATAAGTAACAAAACAGGAATGAAGAAAGAATCATTATACTACCATACCTACGTGCTGAAGCAATTCCGCTATTTAGATTTCTGCAGTACATTTCTACATTTTTTCCTTTTTTCCGCCTGAACATTCCGAAGAATATGAATAAAAGCAGTACTGATAAAAACTACAGACTCAATGCAAGAGTATGCGCTGCAAAGTTTTTCAACGGTTTTTTTAAAATTCGTCTCTTTGGTTTGATCTAACTCATCGTTCATGTGTCCTCCCAACACGTGACCATTTTAAAGTGTCGTATAAAGGCGATGGGTCCAGTTCCCAACAACTTCATTCCATTAACTACGTTGACATAACATCGTATCAGCAATTCAGTAAGAGTGTGAAGTGTCTTTCTCTTTGTTTTTTTCTGAGCTGCATTGCTGATGTACTGAGCAGTTGTGTTCAGTAGGGGAGCTGCTATCAAGATGTATGAGGTGATAAAAATCATGGAAAGGAAAGAAGACTGCGTAGTTGAAACCTACAAACATGTAGGCCGACGATTACCTTAACTAATCCTCAACTCTAAGGAGGTTTCTTGATAAATGGGCTATGCTACGGTGTTTCCTCTCCTTTAAAGGCTAAGACATGACTTTCCATCAATTGAATTCCAAAAATAATGTTCTTGTTTTGTTAGTTAAAACTGTATTTAGGCATCGAAACGGGATTGCAAGTGCTTCCTGATGATAACTTTACAGGGGCGCTTTGTGTATGGGTAAAGCACATGGACCTAAAGCAGCACGTGAGGACGCCACTGCACCTTGGAGTTACTGACCTGATATCTCTGGAGTATCTGAAGACGATGTCTGTTCATTTTCAGCTTTGTTATCCACATCAGCGTAGTCTGGTGGAGGTAGGTGCAGAGTATCAGGTCCCGTACTGGAATAACGCTTCAGTGATTTATGGCTAATGCTGGTCTCTAGTGGAGGGCGAGGGTGAACTCCGCCAGGTGGAAGAGTGTGACTTACTCTAGGACTGTGGGAAAGGAGACGCAAAAAATACTTTTCAACTGCAAAAGTTCAAATTTTATTGTCAAAATATCAGGTATGTATAAAATTTAGGGCAACTGAAGAAAACTTTTGCCATTCTCTTTTTCAAGGACGCTGCCTCTCAGTTGAAGTTATTGTCTCCATTGCCATAACTGTGCCAAAACGCTTCACAGTGACTATTGCCGGCCTAAATTCAAGGCCCTAAATCTTCAAAAATAAAGCGCTAACATTATAACGAAACAAATGTAATGTAATTTGATTGAATAGCCTTTTTCCAAATACCAGTCCAGTTACAGCACACATACCTAAACGAGGTGGACACTCTCCAATACAAATCACTGAATTTTCTCAACGAAAGTATTTATTTTTGGTGCCTTTGTTCACTCGAATATACAGGGAGGGGTCTATCGACAAATTCATGAATAAATGCAAGCCGTTTGGAGCCAACGATTAAACTAAGCCTTTTCAGAATCTACGTGCATGGTGCTGAAAACTCACCCAGTTGAAACAGCAATGACCTGTTCAGTGTAAGCAGCAGGAAACCAACCAGATCTGATAAACAAAATGACGATAGTAGAAATGATCATAAGATAATAAGATTCCTCAGCAATTAAAAATTAATCTTTCACAAAACCTCGTTCCCACCGAAGCGGGAGAGAGAGAGAAAGAGGGGGCGGGGTTGGGGGAAGGGGGGCTCTGGGGTCTCCGGGGGCTGAGTAGTACCGTGATTTTGCTCCTCCACGCTCCATTTCTGCTTAGTGTTGGTATTTCTTTGGTGTTCTACAGTTTTAAGTGGTTATTTTGATATCATTCTCTTTGTCTCCCATGGCCAGTGCTATAAGTACATAAACTAACTCTTTTGAATTTCTTCCTTGAATGAACAGTACATCAGATTATATTGATAGTGATTGTGTTGTTCCAGAGCCGGTTTAATAGCATGACTATTAGTATACATCTTATCCTAAATCACATCTGAGTCAGTGAGGGTGTTGTCGGAGTACAGTTTAAGGGCTAGCAAAACACTGAAATCATTATGTACTTGCTAGTTTTCAAGTTCTCTCCATACTGCCAACCCGACACAACTTCACTGATGGGATGTATCAGATCACCCTGTGTGATAAGATATACAGTATAATTATAATAATTATATTATCAGATATAGTAGAACCTTTTATATGCTGAAGCTCTGTGGACTTGAGGTTGTTTGAAAGGCAGTGTTTTTATGTCACTCTCTGACACTGGACTTGACTTGGTTAAAAATTCAGTGTTTAAGTCACTGGGACCATGAATAAGTGTCTACTTATCAAAGTTGTCTGTTAGCAGAGGTTCACCTGTACTTTCAAACAGGGTCATCAGCACTCATGCACGTGTGTGCATCACTGTAATATTTCAGTATAAAAATAGTATCTTCACATCTAATTTCAATGATAAAGAATTATGCTGAACATTGTCAGTAGATTCTTTACAGGGTGGTATGATGGGCACATTGTGCAATCTGGAGTCCCATCCCACGTTCAAGTCCCACTCTAGCCTTAAGCTGGATTTATTTGTTTCAATCTTTGGCCACACCAGTTAGGCTTTTAAACCTTGTTACATTTCATTTTGATTATTATTTTTCATTACTTAAGTGGTGTGTTGTGAACTTGCTGATGAAACAATACAATACACTTCTAGTTATAAACAAAGCCTTTACCTTGGCCTTTTTTTAAAGTAAAAAAGCTACTACATCATATTTTTGCCAGTATTTTTACTAATCACAGACACTACCACCTAACTGTCAACACACAGCTGTTGCAACAGTTTACTTACCTCTTTAAAACTAACTTGTGATGGTTCTACAGCAGTGTGGGCAAACTTTGCTCTCAGTTCTACCCTGTAAATTTAATACAGTTGAACAACACATAAGCTACAACACAAATGCAAAGATTTAGTGGTTGCTTATGGAAGGTTGCCATTTGTGAGAATCAAACCACAGGGGGTCCTGCCAAGAGGAGCTGAGGTCCTAACGCAGTCTACTTTCTGGCAGAGAATTTATTGCATGCAATTAAGACTTTGGTATATGTGTAGTTGCATGTTGTCACCTAAAATACTTTGTAAATTGTTTGAAGTTCTATGACTCTGACTGGAAAAATTTTGGCGTTTGGGATTGTTAGTCAGGGTTGTCATTAAGAGCCGGGGGCCGGGGATTTTCCCCGGCTACTAAGAGAGTGGCCCCCAGCTACTTTTATTGGAAAATAGAAGAAACATAGAACCACAAGAAATGCCTAGCCGTTTGATTCCCCACCTACTTGTTGTATTTACCCGGCAACTTGAAATGTGTAGTTCCAGAAAATATCCAGACCCCCTCCACGGAGGGAATTGGAAATTCCAGGGGGGTGGGGGGGTCAGAGGCCCAGGAAATTCCAGAAGGGAGGGGGGTTGGACCATAAAATCACTTTCCAGCGGGGCAATATCATATCGTATTCGACCTGAGTTCGAACATTGCTTCTTACCGACCTGGTAGATCATTTTTAGGACGTAAATAACTTGAAATACATCACTTAAGATTGTTCCTTTTGATCTTAACCAGGTTTCCTTTCTTCCAAAAGCGTTTTGGATGTAATTTCAACGGAATTAGACCGACTACAACTCGTTTTATCGCATGCTCGTATATTCGGCCGCCATTACTCGTTACCAGTCTTCCTCAAAACATCAACGCGTGCAACACATCACGCAACACATCACGTTGCGTCAGTCGATTGATAGATCAGAAGAGTGGCAATTTTGCCTCACGAAGCACAAGCTATACATTGTAACCATTTTAGAATGTAGAGTCTTTATTCTCCTTTTCATTTTCCCATAATTTTGTGGTTGAACGTGTGGCATGTTCATGATCGAATTCTCGCTGAAATGGTGTCGATTTCACCAAACATTTATCAGGGCCATCGCGCATCACGTCGCATCAGTCGATCGAAAAACAGTAAATTGAACTTGGTTTCCCTTCAAGTACCTTCAAGATGCAGGGGGTATTCATTGTTATCATTTCAGAATTCAGAGTTTTTATTCTCCTCTTTGATTTGCATTAATTTTGTGGTCGTAAGTTTGACTTGTTCTGCATTCCCGAACGAAATGGCGTTAATTCTATCAACATTACGCCCATGAGACGAATATCAAATCGTAAGCTTGCCGTGATTAAGGTAAATTCACAAATATAACCGACTACGGACTTATTAACTTTCTCTGTTTCACTTAAAGTAAGAGATGAGCAAAAATTACAGATCAGGTTACCTTGTGGTGGTGTTGTGTGTTTTAATGTTGCGAGATCACTCAAATAAATGGAAACAGAAGCATACAAGCTTCTGATGGAAATCGTTGGGTACCAACCATAAAATGCCTCATTCTTTTACTTTAATAGTCTTTCTTTGTGAAAATGAACTTTTCCAGAGGGGTTGGGGGGTCTTTGTCACACTTGTGGAAATTCCGAAGGGGTGGGGGGTCATCAGTTCCTTGCAAAAAAGGAAAATCCAGGGAGGTGGTGGGGTCCTAAGTGAAATTCCCTCCGTGGTGGGGGTCTGGATATTTTCTGGAACTACACAATCTTAGTGACAACCCTGGGTAGTCTCTTATGGGAGGTGGTCACTTCTGAGAAGTGATCACATATGGAGGTTCCCCTGTAAATACACGTTTAGAAAATTGAAAATATGATGCTGCCATAAAAATTTGAAAAAAATAATTTAACACATAACTCCAGGTTAAAATATATCATTTTATTGTGCATGTGTCTTGCCAAAACCCTAAGAACCAATAGAAAAAATTAAAGATTTTACAATGCATTTATACTCAAACACCAGTTAGACTGATTTAAAGCAAAATTGAACTTGACTACACATACTTGTTACTTCTCCCAAAATTTTCCATCTCTGCACTCATGACAGATCCATTAATCTAAAAATGAAATCAAAGCAGTAATTCAACTAGCAGTCATACAGGACAAAGCTTCACTTTGCAGCACATCATAGAGAAGACACCTTATAAGAGTCAGAGGCCAGGGCTTTCCCCCAAGCTACCACGAATGTGGCCCCCGGCTACTTTCATAGGAAAATAGAAGAAAAATAGAACCAAGAGAAATCCCTAGCTGTTTGATTACCCACCCACTTGTTGTATTTACCCTACAACTTGAAATCTTAAGCCTGGTTTTCACTAGTGCATACGCATAAACATAAGCACAATAAAAACGTACAAGTTCATTCTTCTTGTGCTTATGGTTATGCTGATGTCATAGCTTTGACCAGTGAAAACAGGGTCAACATATTAGCACAAGCATAAGCACTTTGCCGTGGGCCAATCATAGGCCACTTTGACCCAGACCTCATGCAAACATATCAAAAGCAATATGGCGGACGAAGCGTCCACCATCTTGTTTACCATTGGGTTGAGGAGAGCTGGTATCAAGAATTGAGTCAAATATGCCATTCGGCATGTAGGTATGTCCCTACTCTTATGCTTATGTGCTAGTGAAAACCAGGCTTTCGTGACATTCTGATCCTGTATTGGCTTTATTATTTTGACTTTCAGAGCATAATGATTTCATATACATACAGTATGTTCATATTCCAATATTGCAATGCAATTGTTTGGAATCTCAACGCAGATGTTTACCTGGAAATCAGCTGAGTCACCTTTCCTTTTAACATGAGAGAACCACATGGGAACTTTTTCCCTTAGTATCTGGGAATTCTGAAAAATTATTCATTAATTTAATAATAAATTACTGTAGTATTATAAATTACAAAATAAGAGGGCCAAATACATTAGGAAATTGACAATTTTACCTGTGTTTTCTCAATTCCTATGAAATCGGAACTAAAAAACCTGCTAACTACATCTATAAAGTCTTTGAAAAGTGTAAAAAAGAATATGATATGGCTTAAAATATTCTGTTACAAGATTTTTGTCCACTGGAAATTAAAATTACTCAATTTCCTAATGTATTCAATCTTAATACTTATTTCATCATAAGCAGAAGATAGTCCAGTTCACAACATTACAAATGTTCAATTGATTCCATATTCTACCATTGTTGACACACTGAGGCTACAAAAATTGTAACTGGCAGTAAAGAACATACACTGCAAGTGCTTAATATCAAAACGTTCGAGTGTGGCAAGACTGACTGCATGCCTCCACACTTCAAACAAGAAATACTTACATGTTCACAGTATTCCATAGTACTCTTAGCAACAATACTTGTTCTATCCAACACAAGACAATATCTCTTCTTTTCTTCCACCATTGCCTGAGTAAAAAAATTAATCAATATTAACCCTTTTGACAATAAATGGGTGTGGGAAGGTAGATGTGACAACCTTGTGAACTGCACCCAGCTGCCACCATCACACTGAAAACCTCAGTGGAGAAATGTGCAGATATTTACCACAAAACAACCAGAGGAAAGGGAGAGCTGGGAACAAAAGCAACTAAATCCACTGCTCACGAAAGGAACATTTAGGGAGTGAAATGATTGACCTCAGCAAAAGCGCTGTAAAACTACTAAAGCCAAAGACAACCCAACAAACAATTAGTGATGGAGACTGCTGGCCAGCATTGTCTCCTGCTAAACCTTGCCTAAACCTTTAATAATAAAGCTGATGTGGAGTAACGTATATAAATATTTCCTACTTCATGTAAAATTGACTTGCTTGCTGATGATAAAAAACAATAGTAACAATAGTACTGAAGTGTGTCAAACCAATCTGACAGCTGCACAACTAAAAGTTCTCTGCTGAAATTGATTTTCTGGTCAAAAAAATGGGAAAAGTGGGATTGAAAATGGCCAATGTATATGTGACCTCTCATGTAAAAATGTACACTGCCACTTTATTCGGTTAAATTGATGAAACATACAGCTACCAGTTACAGTTGGATACCTCACCCATTTGAATAGGTCCATTGAATAGTCTTAGATGAACAGATAAAGTATCCAAATGCCTCACACAAATGGCTGAACAACTTATAAAAATTTTCAACTTGCATGGTTACCTAAATGACTGAACCACCTTAGGAAAATTCTGTATTTCTGGACTTTCAATGGAGTATATACCAATTGAGTTTTAGCTAAATATACTGGCTACCACAGGTACGTACATTGTAGGTAATATTAAGGCAACAACACAATTATATACCTTTCTGCAACTTGTAAGCCGAAATTCATGAAGTTCTTTTTGACAAGATGCTACCTGTTCTTCACACTTTAAAACCAAACAAAGAAAGAAAAAAAAAAAGACCAGTAACATGTACATTTCAGTGATTATTTTCCTGGACTGTGGTGAGATAAAATGGAAATTAGTTGAGACAAAAATATCATGAACAAATTCAAATAAAAATTCAGATAATTCTATTCTTGACTGACAGCAGATTATTAGTTTTACAATACTTGCAGAAGCTAGCCTACAGGTATGCATGATTACCATTTGATTACACTTCAAAATAAAATACTTTATTGACATCTCCCAATTATAGGGTTTTTCAGTGACAATTTGCAATAACGCAAATAATTAACAAATAAAAGTCAAAAGAGTATTTTGAATAAAATCTTAGCAGTGAACATCAAAATACTTTATTTTACCTGTTTCTCTTTATCTTCATATTTTTCTGTTGGCTTTTTTCTTTGACTTTTTTTTCTAACCTTCAAAAGTTCACCTTTAGCTTTATCCACTGACTACCGCAGATAAAAAAGAAAATTAGAATAATGAGAACCGTATATCACCAGGAAAAAAAAAAAGGTAAAAATGCACATGTAACAATGGATTGAAGTCTGACACTACAACATCAATAAACTAGTTCAAAGCATGCAACATACTAATCTTACAAGGTTCATGTGGTGTACACTTGTAAACTGGCAGCCCTCAATGAAATCACAGTGTGTTGTGTTTTCCCTCTCTTTTTAGTCTATAATCCTGTTTTGAACTCACACTAACAATTTCTCACTCAACGAAAAGACACTTACTCTCACTCTTATCTTACCACATGGTCAAGTCTAAATATGCCCTGGGTAGCTCCCCCTCTTTCCAGAACCTTACCTCCATTTTGGTTTTGTTCTCTTGACCATAATTCTTCTGAAAAGACTTGAATTAAAGGGAAAAAAGCAAAATTAATCTAGTAAATTGTATTTTCATTTGTCATTGTCACCTTCCCATCCTTTTATTAACCCCATTCAAATGTACAAAAAAAGTCAACATAGTACCACTCATTTTTAGCACCATTGCTTGCAATTTTTGGGCTTGGCACTCTCTCTTTATGCATTTAATAAATTTTATGCATCAGTACTGTACCAAACAAAGTTTGGCACTGGTGCACCAACTTCTAATTTTGCTGTGGTTGCAACAGAGGCACATATGTTGTTTTCACAAAAATGGTGGTGACTGCTAAATCACCAAAGAAGAATCATGGAATTGCATGATAAACAAGGCCAAAGAAATGCTATTACAATTTATTATAAATTTCCATCACTGCAAATAACCACCTTTGCTTATGTGGTTTTCTTATTTCACCATACCATGCATAACTTTGTCGCCATAATTTTGAAATAATGACTAGCCTTTCACATTTCACAAACATACATTTTTTTCTACTATGTACCTTGACATATAACACATCTGATTCAGCAAGTCGCTCTAATGGGGTAATTAAGTCATTCTGAAGGTATTTCATCTGGAAGATATTAATTAGTAACAGAAAATTCTTAATTACTTGCAAATAAAAAAATGCCAGTTAAGCACTGGCATTTCCATTTCAATAATGGCTGAAAAAATAAATCATGTGGACTGAGGAATAAGAAAAGTTATGATTTTACGTAACATTTATGATGTGTATACCATATTTTCTCAATTTAACGCCAAGTCCCAAATTTATAAATATTGGGTCTAAAGGCAAAGTTGTTAATAAACCCCTCACACATAAATTTTTATTTGTAATATGATAACTTACAGTATAAAGGCAAGATATACTTCTTCAAAGAAAAAGACCTACAAAATGTTTCTATAGTATTTTACAGCAGGCCAAACAAACCACCAAAAATTCAAACAAATGCATGCCGGGTCCACAAGACCAAGTTTTGCGAATTATGGTAAACAGAATTGATATCAATTAATGTTGCTGTATGAATAAAATTAAATACATTTAACAAAAACTACCGGTAAACCGGTAATTGTTTAATGCCAGAAGGACTCATCAGAAAAAAAATTGAATAAGCTTTTGCAACTCCTAGAGTTTTAATTGCCAAAGTGAACCCCAGAAATTAATTGACCATAATCACATAATCATAGAAGCCTCCAAATAAATCTCTTTAGCATACTTTTCACCCATTTTTTTTGGTCAACAAGATTTTGATATGAACCACTCTGTGTACATGAACTAATCCTTCCTGACTGATGTGAAGAAATTATTATAATGAAGGTCATGAGAACTCCTTCCACTTTACAACATTGTGGCAAAAAAATTGTGCTTCTAATATCCACACATCACACAAGCATAAACCATGTACACTAGAGTCCCGAAGTTTTCTACACTAAAATGACACACCAGCCAACACAATAAATAAAATAAATGTTAAGCAGCTGAAATAATCTTACAACTGAATGTTTAACGTTTAACATTATTAATTTTCATTTTGGCGAGGTATTGTTAAACCAACACAATTATTATTTTTGTTGTTTTAATATACTCTTCTGAGGTATTGGTGTGGTCCCAGAGGTTATAACAACAAATTTCTGTGAATGTAATCTACAGGATATGACCAGCCCAGAAATACAAACATACATTCAACAAACAATTAAACTTTGCATTGTTTAATGTGTCAACAACTTCGTGAACCCCATTTTGGAGTATCGCTTTAATAATACCTTTGATGTATTTAAATAACAATCTCATAAAAGATTCATGTTCAAGACAAGATTACAATGGATTACAATTTAATCTTCTTCGATAATCCTTACTACATTATTGCTCACTTGGCTCGTACAACACAAACAGCGATTATTTTAATCAAAGTGTTCACCAGTTACACACAATATGTCCCATTATTAACGAAAATCTGAGTAAAATTATTCCTTCTTAAAATCAAATCAAATCACAAAAAGGAAAAATACAGAAGTGCTGCTCTTGAGCTTATGTGCAAAAATTTATCAAGAATACTAATTGGGGCTTGGAAAAAAAAACATGAAATTCAACTTGTCCTTTAAGGACAAGGTTCACTCATATTTTGCTTGTTCATGGCCAGTGTAACAGATGACTTTGCCCATCATGTATGTAAGCAAGAAAAATTACTGCACACCTACCAGAAAATCTTTTTGTCCCTGATGACTAGACAGGACTGTTTTCAAGCCATAACATTACCTCAGTAAAGACTACGTCTCATACATATTATACTCCTTAGCTTCCATTCAAATGATGAAACATTCTTGAACTCATACACAGACTTAAATCGATTATTTATTATTTATATTTATCACTTTTGCACACTGATATGTGCACTGTCATAAATATTGTGTTAGAGATACTTTTGAAGTGATCTATCGAAGGCATAGGGTGAAGAGTCAAGTTGTGGATAGGTTGTCTCTTTCCTTCTCACAGTTTCCAAGAACTTTTTCCTGCTACCCTGCGAGCAGAGGTTTCTCTTTTGCATGGGTTTAAGCGCTAACGAAGTCACAGCCTGGGTTGTCAGTTGCGTTAACAAACCAACTACGTGACAGGAAAACCATGCAAATGACTTCCTAAATGCTAAAAGCCATGCAAGAGAGAAAACTCAGTCTGCTTGCAGGGTAGTTTGTTGTAAATATTAGATTTTAAACAAGGTCTCAGTATCTTGCATATTTCTCCCTGTCATTGTACCCCTGACTCTTCAGTGTAGCTTCTTAACCACTTCACTCATTATACATACCACATTAACATGTCTTGCTTCCATGTCCCTCCTGACAGATACTAAATCCCTGATTGGATCCCCTACAAACACAAAAATGGAATACAAGACAACAATGTTGCCTGTGTGAGTAGCTAATTTATGAAGTGGTGGCCAAAGCCAACTTCAAACTGTCTGCTGACCCAGGAGACAAGTAGTTTTTAGCTTGGACAATGAAATCTCCTAATCAAAGCCTGACTTATCCTAAAAAGGGACAGGTAATCTACCCTGTGCATGCAAAATTGCATGAAAAAAAAAATATTGAGAAGTAACTTAGTGCTAAAAATATAGTCTGTATGTCACATAACAAAAAATGTTCCCTGCCTCTGCTCTAGTTAATTAGGGGAGAAAGAGCAAAAATTCTTTCAACACATAGCTGTTGCAATAAGCTAAATGCACGTATTTTGGAGGATGCCAGGCTTCAGCGTGCTTGAAAGTGCACAACATAGAAGACCATTACCGCAAAAACTAAATTGCAATATCTAGAGCCACTAGCCTTGCAAAATTCATTTTCCATGATCCTTCAGCTCATTGGTAATAGGTATGACCTTGTCTTTTCATTATTTTTCCCCAAACAAATTACCCATGAGTACAATTGAGAGGGCAGTTTAAAAAAAACTTTCATGGGCATGGCCTGAGTAATAATATGCTAGATGCAGGAATTCTACAAGAAATTTTTTCCACATTAATTTTTTTCCTTCGGTTTATTCAATTATCAAATATCCTTAAATGGATAAAAAATTAAAGATGTTCATTTGTTGGTGAATCATTGCTGCGTAACTAAAGACCATTTGAGGTCATTTGCCGCTTAACTAGGCATTGGACACTATTAATATTCACACCGTCAAGAGTACCAAATGAATGTAAGAAACTTCCATATCTGGACCTCTAAAGAAATGGAATTATTCAAAATTTCATTTAAATATCTTAAGGTATTTAAAATTCTTTACAACATATTCTCTGACTTTGACCACATCACATTTTGCAAACTACTGTAACTTAAAATTTCCGCTTGAGCACATACCACTACCCTGAAGTAATTATGTCGACCATTCACGTGTATATAAAGTGTTAAATGTGTTAAAATGAATATCGATAAGCAACCACTCAAGCTTTTTCTTTGTAAGAACTGCTGATTGAGGGGAAACAAATGAATAATTAGGCGGACTTTGAAATTGTTTTTGCATTTTATACACATAATTAGCAGCCGAATCTATAAAGTTGACTCGCTTTGTCTTTAACTTTAAGTTCACTACGGATAGATATTCGGATCGTCAGCTAAAACTGCGTTACTCAAAATATTTGGAAGCCCTAAAAGCCCCAACCATATGATACATAAGGAAAGCTCTTTAACCTTATAATGAGCTTACAATATAATAAACTTCATCCCCAAAAATAGTTTTCTTATATTTGGCTCTGCAAATACAGTGGTTCAAAATATATGCACTTGATCGTGGTTTTCGCACGACTGGCCAAGCGATAAACCGCAGTAACACTTCTGCAATATTCTATGAGTTTCCAAGGTTTTCTATACACACCCCCTGGTCGATCGATGCTTCAGCTGTACATAAATAAACAAATCAAATAACTTTGTAATAGCGATAACGTTAAAAGTACAAATCGTTTTAGCGTTATAAACTACAAGCACAATCTTTTTTTAAATTTTGGCTTACCAAGGCTGTGAGCCGTTCCCTCTGAAGAAAGCGCCTTTTCTGATATTTTGGCGAGAGAATCGTGAAAGGCACTCGCCGCTTGCCGGACATCTGAAAGAATAGATACCAGTATTGAGGGTGCAAGCTTCTCATTCACTTTCACAAAATGCTCTCCCCATAATAACAATAAACAGCAACTTTATACCTCAAAGTAGTTAATACACTTACTGTGCAATGACTTAAGGTAATTTTTAGCGTTAACAGCGAGTTCTTTCAAAACCGGACACAAGTCGATGATATTCTAGAAACGAGAGAAATGCACACTGTCATCTATGCAACAACTGACACAGGGTTGAATTCTAGAGTTTCAACTCACCTGGTACGTCGTTAAAGTTATATTATGTAGCTCCTGTTCCGTTTTGGTTTCTAAATCTTTCAGGACATCCATTTTGGTGAGCGATTGCTCGTGTTTTCATGGCAAACTGAGGACAACGTTTTCAGCTGTGTCTCTGCCCACCGGTTTGATATGGACTCGCTTTGGTGTCAGACGCGGATTTAAGCGGTCAGCAGTGCGAGTGTCCAATAGGCCGGTTTTCCGTTTGTTTATATGAACCTTAGCGAACGTCAAACAACCGAGATTAAAGTTTTCATGAGGATTTACAGGCTTAGATTATAATAAAACTGACAGCTTGTGATCCGGTAAATGTCGCAAGTTCCAGATGAGAACAAAACAAAATGACTAAAATAATCTTCAAAATGGTACCGTCCGGTGACATCACACACATGTCACATGTCATCGGCTTCTCCCCGGGGTAGGACCCCCGGCCAACCAGGGGGATATGGGGCTGGATTGAAAAGAGGGTGTGAATGTGGTTAACCGACTAGCGTCAAAGGGCGTAAAATACTACCGACTAACGACAAAACGAGAAAAAAATTACTGACTACCGACAGAAAAAAAAAAATCAACCGACTACCGACATTGACCGCCATTATCGATATTTGTTTTCAGAAAGAAGAAATCGGAAGAGCATTTTGTATTTTCTCTAGCTTACGAAGTAACCACATTAAAGGTAATTATAGAATTTCCTGTCATCTTCTTACTTTTTGGCCGGAAGAGTGCGGGATCATTTTGCAGAACAATTTCCGGTACTCGAGCCCACGAAACCTCCCGCTGTAATATTTCAACCACGTTTCATCGAACGCCACCGTAGCCGGGTTCCGGTCGACAAAGAAAAACACACAAGATTCAAATTTAAAAAACTTCTGACAAATCTTTCAAGTTACAAGTTTTATACGTTATATGGGGTTCAAAGTCTTAAAACTAGGTAAATTTTATAACAAACATTAATAATTAACATGCCTGTCCCATGTCCCCAATTAGTAGAGGGGTTCTTAACCCCATCGGCTAGACATTCCAAGACACATTAATAAAGTTTTATGTATGTATGTATGTATGTATGCCTTTTTAATTATTAACTGAGATTTAACGACAACAGACAAAGACCGAAAATTTTAACCGACTATTGACAAAGATCAAAAATTTTAACCGACTACCGACAAGGTGACTACATTTTAACCGACAACCGACAAGTGGAGCCTCCAACTCAGACCCTCTGAAAACTCTGCGGCTGGGAAGGGAAAATTCACGACATATTCATATTATATTTTATAAGCAAGACAAACACTAAAATCTAAGATGTGGTGAATTCCCCATTCCAAACTTTCGGATTGTTAGTAGTTGAAGTACGGTGACACATTTTTTTGGGGCGCTTTCCATTCAACCCAAAATTCCGGTAATTTCGGTTGGTACATCAAATGGAACGGACCTTTTCGGTTTGGTCCGACCGGAATATTCGGGACCAGCTTTGAAGGTGGTCCAACTGTGACCGGTCTGGTCATTTCGGCGGTGTATGACATTTGCAGACTGCAGACCGCAGACCGCAGACTGCAGACCGCAGACTGCTAGCCTGTTCCAGGCTTCGAGATGGTGGTGGAAAGTCGTTCAGTAATAAGAAATGCGAAAAACGCTGCCACCGCCCCCTTTCCCAAGTCGTGCGCGTCTTATTTTCGCTTTGCTCGTTTTAATACGTTCCCACTATACTATCTGAGAGCCTGGCACAGGCTACAGACTGCAGACTGCATGAGGCAGCATGACTGTGAATTGAATGAAACCAAAAATATCGTACTAAAGGTGGCGTCATCATCAACATTACCTTGTTCCGAAAAGTAAGGCCTAGAAGCGAAGTTTATATTTTTCACGCAAATTACACCGACCTCATTCCTAAAGGAGCTGTTGGCTATTCTTTTCGTATTGAATTAGAGCAGAATAATGTCTACCGATGTCAAAAACTTGCTCATGAATCCATAGCAACAGTCTAGCAATTTAGCCTGCACCACAGACGAAACTAAACGATAAGTCTGTCTGTGAAACAGCGCCGGAATCCCTATTCTACGGGGGTCCCACCTTTGTACACCTTCACCTTCGGCTCGACGCGACTACACCTAACCACTACACGCCACAGAGGCTGACTACGTAATTTTTAGGGAAAGTCTCTCATTTTATACCTTTTCCATGAAACTTCCGCCGGCAAGATCATCGCCAGCCGCATTAACCGAGCTATTAACAGTGAAAAAACAATGTAAACGCATATTCCATGGCAAAGAATGGATGAAAGAACATAATTATGCTTTTCAAAACGCCGATACACGTCCTCTCTGCAAAGTAGGACTAAAAACATATGTTTGTTATCTCGATTTCCGCTGTCATTTTGAAGCGAATGGTCAAAATCACATCCATTTTCGGCTCATACAGTTTCTTAAGAATAGCACTGCATGACATTTTCTCACTTTAATTTCACATCACCTTCTAGCAAGCTGGAATTTGTATATCCCCCGTGTTGCGGAGTGGAAGAGCAAATGCTCATCTTCTCGTCAGGTTTAACACCTGGACGAGTCAAAGGCTGTTGAATTGAAATCCAATCTCCAAGTTAACCATCGTACTCATCTGAAAGACTCCTGCGTGTCTTAAAATTTGGTTAGACCTCTAACCGTGCTGTAGAAAATTTGCCACAAAGAAAACTCTAATTCTGGGCAGCGAACGATGCACTCTCTCACACACTGAACTTCCCCGTGTTTTTAATTTGAGTTTTTCGTGGCGCAATGCACTCTGGTTAAATACAATGCATTGTGGTAAAAAGTGTGGTTAAATGCAATGCATTGTGGTAAAAAGTGATGAATTCTAGAATTCGTCGCCCCTTATATATTTCCTTTAAATCCTGATTATGTTGCTCCTCGCTCCCTTCGGTCGCTCCGCAGCAATCGTCCGTCATTTAAAAGGTGTTAAATGTCCTTGATCTATCCTACCGAAGCGGCTCGCAATCTAAAAACTTTTTTTACAGAAGACTACTATTTAGACAGGCATTAGTGGGCATTGCTACTTGTCATTATCAATTCACGATAATCAAAGAAGAATAAGGAATCAACGCAATTAGTGATATGCCGGGTGAGATGATAAAGGGTCGGTGAAGAATAGCCAACAGCATTTTGGGAATGAGGCCAATCTAACTTTGCACAAAAATATCAACCTTGTTCCCAAGGCTACTTTCACACGATTTTATATTTTTGAAGACGTCACCTTTATTAGGAGGATTTTTGGTATCATTTAATTTACAATCTGCAATCTTTGGTCTGCGTCTGCAGTCTGCAGTCTGCAGTCTGCGGTCTACAGTCTACAGTCTGCAGTCTACGGTCTGCAGTCTACAGTCTGCAGTCTGCAGTCTGCGGTCTGCAGTCTGCAAATGTCATACACGGGAAATGAATACAACAAAGCCTGGCTGAATACAAATTGGCTAAAACAACGAATTTATTTACCGTACAGTTCCAGGAATTGCTTCGAATCGTTCGAATATTCTGAGGAACGTATCGCTTCAATTCACAAGAAGTTTTTACCTTCACTTGCATTCATAGGCTTTCTACACAAAATAGGATTCCTCCACCTTTAGTTTTCCACCGCCCCTTTTCGACAGTCGAGTGTTCTTTAGGATATAAACAGTATTTACTTTTCTCTTTTAGAGCGTGATTATGAGTGTGCTGAGAAGCCACAATAGGGAGCTTAAGCAACGACGACGCGGACGGCAACGAGAACGGCAAAAAAAGCAGTAGGTTTGATTAGCAAAACAACAACTTTGCACGTGCATCACGCTTTTTTTGTACATTTCTTTGCCGTCGTTGCCCGACTACAACGTGAAAATGCCTGAATTCACGTTTTGTCGAGGACGGGAACACAAGACAACAACTTTCTTTTCTTTTCCTGAACTTTAATACAGTCCTTTAGAATTCAACTCCAAAAACATTTGCCAACATTTGACGAAGTAAACGAGATGGAATAAGCGCGATAAAGTTTGAAGCGGTGCGAATTCACTTTTTAAGTCACGTTTTTATAGCCGTCGCGCGGTGGCTTGGGTCGGGTCTTTACAACCGGAATGTACCGTTCCCGAGCACGTGAAGTTTCCGAAATTTCAAACCGGAATTTTTGTTCAATGGAAAGCGCCCACTGTGTCAGATTTGTGAGGAAAAATAACCTAACTAAGTCAGGGTATTCGGTAGGAAAAACAGTCTTCAAGCCTTTAAGAAAGCCGTAAGGGAAGTTAATATTAGGCCTTTTAGATGCAATGCACGCTTGTGCTACATAATAGACTGTCCTTATGGAAATTTATATGCATGTGATCAAATTATTGATTTATTTCAATTTTTATATTTCATTAGCCTGCGATCAGGCGTTTTTTTAAAAGGGAAAATGATCGCAGTTAATATTTTATTGTACATTTAAACTATCCATTTATCTCTATTTTTGCATTTTTTGTACAGCATTTGTAGAAAGGAATTTTCTTTTGTGTTCCCAGTTAGCCTCTTAGCTAAATCTTCCGATGCTTTATTAATTATGTACCGTATGTATGTGACTAGCCAGATTTTCGAAAAGACTGAAAACCGTACCGCCAAATGGACCTTTTGTGTCCAACATCTTCAAAGTAGCCATCGTCATTTTTCTTTTCCTCCTTTCCTCACTCTTTCTTTTTCTCGTTTCTTTTTCTTTCGTTAGTGTGCCTGCAGGGAGGAGAAAACACGTTAAAACGCGTTCAGCCTTCTTCTAAAAGTATAAAAAAGGGGATTTGGTATATCTACATGTACAAGGCATTAAGCCCTTGCTAATTCGTCGCTCTGACTCTTCCCATTTCTGTCGGGTAAGGTCTGTTTTGGAGGATTCGCGTTGAATGCGGACTTGAGCTTTGCAAAATGTTTTCTTGCGCTTTTCTTTGACTTTGAAGTTATAATTTATCTGCAGGTCTTTTTACCGTTCAGTGGTTTCCTGTGGTTTCTTATCTTTGGGTAGACACCGTGACACTGAATTCTGCAAAGCTGATCGTACTGCGTGAGACATCAACACAACTCTGAAAGAACCCAAAGCAGAGCGGGGTCGTAGCCGTAGCTATAGACAACTGTTTCTTATCTTTGCTCTATCAGAAATTGACCCGGCTAAACTGATGCGCTAGCTGAAGGATATAGTATTCTCCTTTCTCATCAGTTTTCAAAAGTGGGTGGCTAACATAAGGGTTTGCTTCCATAGTTTCCTCAAAAGTGTCGGGTCTGGATAATTCAGTATTTGGCGTAAAGTAAGAGGTTCCCTGGTATAGTTTTGACATGCTCGATATGCGATGCAGCTCTTAGCGTTACTTGCAGGATTGAAGCTCCTATTAAAGCTACCCTACTCTTGTTGTTTTAAAAATCAGTGTACTGTCACTTGGTCAACAGCGTTGCTTGCATCAGTCTACTCTGAGCCCTTTAAGCGGAGCTCTCGCGCGCGAAGGCTCGCAGCGGAGCACCATGGCCAAGAAAATTTGGTAAATTATGCATCCGAGCAATTTTCAACCGTGCGGAGTACGTCCCTACGTACGTCCACCCCTTCATGTAAACCGGGTTGAAATTTTGCATTTCAAGTATACGCTTTTCGGCAGTAAATCGTAGTATAGCCACCTGGACTTTTAGGGATAAAAACAACAACAACAACGAAGCCGATTCTCAGTCTTTCGACTTAATTTTTAAGTCTACATTGGCGTGGATAACAGAGAAAGAGCTAGAGCCAGAGATAAAGAGACAAAGGAGACCAATTTCGTTTGAAGAATAACATGAAAATTTTACAGCGGCTGTGAGAAAATGAGAAACGGCTAGCGGCCACCAAGGTAAAAAGGAGCGTCAGCGAAAGAAAAGTGAACAGGACCGCAAACAACATTTCCTACATAAAACGTGTACCCAGGAATTGAAGTTTCTGGAAGTTCCACGTTGTCGTCATGCAAAACACAGGCAAAGAAATATAAAAAAGAGTGTGCTGCACGTGCAAAGTTTTTTGTTTTGCTAAATAGACCTTTTTTTCTTTGCTGTTTTGGTTGCCGTCGCCGCTTGCTTAGCATTACACGATTTTATGTTTTGTTTCAGTAAACTATACATGTTAACGAGAGCTTCGCTTTTAGCCCTGGCCAAGTTATATATTAGAATAACGCAAGTCGACTTGAGACTGGTGGCCGGAGCGATGATGTTATTATTCCGGCCTCACTTCGCATTTTAATATTACAGTTGCTAGCTAGGGACCAACGTTAACATTGCATGGAACTTTGTTTGTTTTTGTTTTTGCTTTTTTGTGGCGAGAGGAGTATAGTACAACCGTTCTGACTGGCTTAATGTTGATCGACCTTACCCATTTATTACGTATGTAAGTCGCATCGAGGATCGGAAATTCTAGATTTCCAATTAGCTGCTTAAAAGCAAATCACAAGGGGTGGATCACGGATCCTATTGTCCTTGAAACACATGGATGAAGGTACACATCTTTGCGGATGGTTTATAATATCTGCTGTTTTCTGTGGCCAGAATTCCCGGCACAAGACTAGCCCGCCTAGCTCTTAAGCACATCGCAGGCTTATTTTGCACTGTGATGTTATTCGGTTCACAGGCATGGTCATCGTGGTCGTTCGTCCCCCCTGGGTGAGGTGCGAATTCCTCACCTCTCCTGCTTCGCGCTCCTTTTTACTTCGCAGCGCTCCCCACTATCTGAACGCCTGGAACAGGCTACCCTGATGGTAATTTATTTTTGAAATTCCAAAGCAATTTCACAGCTGAATTTTGCGCGACTTTTAGTTACGGACTTCTGCTCCAACGATTTTTCTGAAATTCCTCTGGCATATTTATTATATCAATTAAAGCCGATTCCAGAAATTTCAGGAAAAAATATCAGCAAAATTTTTTACTAGAGCGATTTTCTTTGAACAGTAGGGTCCTTTTAAGCGCTAATTTCTCAAGAAATATTTACCATCAATGAAATCGGAATATTTCGTGTTATTGCCGAATGATATTTGTTGTTCTTTGCAAAGTTTCGCAGCCATCGCGTTAAAAACCAAAAAGTTATGACGGAAAATTTTTCACAGCTAAATGCTCTTGTATTAATTACGGAGCCACCTTAAGCACATTGCCTATCTAACATACATTGATCGGAAAGAAGGCGTTGATTTGTTTTTAAGAAGCACCCAAGTAGTTTTGAGCTTGGCACACTATGGAAAGATCATGATGATGCAAAGATGCGGCTAACTTAGCGAACAATATAGATCTATTTTTAAATAACATTTGCATTATCATTCCCAAAAAGTAGTCTCACTGAAAGAAAAAAAAATCACTTTTGAAGTTGAGTTTTACCAATGTGTTTCAAAACGCTCGAAATGCAGTCTCAGACGCCCTAGTCCCCCCCTACCCCCCGCTAGAGACTTAAGCCTTGGTCCGCACTCCCCGTTGGATCGCACCTCCCCGTAAAAAGTCCTGGCTACGGGCCTGTGATTTTGAAGCTTATCGAGCCCCACAGAAAAAGTGTCTTTTGACGCCTTTTCACTCAAATGACTTCAAATGTCGATGGGTTGGTTTGCAAAAAATCGGCTAGATGTATGTTCAAAGCAACCTTGACTCCGGAGCGTTTTTCCCTGCCTCCAAAGCCAGGGAAAAGCGCCCTGGGGGAATTCACCAACTTCGCCTGCCTGTAGTCAAATTTCTGGAAGTACAACAGCACCCGGCACATTGAATAGCACAGCGAACACAACCGCAAGGTTATTAAGAAAGCATGAGCTTTAATTATTGTTGAGCTTCACAGTTTTCTATTGCTCCTTTGAACACAAACTTACCACGATCTTCTGCCACACGTTTCGATGTGTTTTGGAAAACATGTGAGTCATTTATTCAGATAAAAACGAGACATCTGATGCTCACGGAATTTAACCGGGGTGCAGAGATTAACGTATATCTCAGGAATCAGAGGACCCTTCCATCACTGTTCCATACTGTAAATCTTTTGGTGATGTTACAGTTTTTGTATTATTTTTCTTTTGCGAAGTCTTGACGATCATGACATATATATGCTGCTTTAATATACTGACTGAAATTTGGCAGTATAACAATGTACAATATTTTACATGGATTCTATACAAAACAAAACAAACAAAACATCTACTGACTGATAGATCACCAGCTAAATGATAATAATTTGATTACCATTGCAGTAATCGAAAGAGGAAATGATCCTCGCAGCTGCAGTTGTCATTTCATATATTTCTATTCATTACAGTAATAGATTACACTATTCATTACACTATTAATAATTACACTATTAATAATTATTATTAATAGCTCTTTATGCATATGTCATTCCACAATGGTTACATCGTTTTTCAGTGAGCAGAAGACAACAAAGGAGACCAAGTGGGAAAAAACAAATGGCCAGACAAATCCCGAGAGGTGTGAATTCATCTTGTAGATTACCCAAGTGACAAGCTGGGCAATTACCACGGACATAAACATAGGTTGTCGGAGCTGCGATGATTGGAGTAGTTTGGTAAACTGGAGGAGCTCCACCTTGGTAACCTGTCAACAATAACCACAAAATCAACCATAAATTAAACTGAGAGTGTGCTCAGTGCAGGCTAGTTACACAGTCACACCTCCACGTAAGACCACCTCTCATAAATGACCACCCTTTAATAAGTGTCACCACCTATCCAATACTAGCAGAGACATGTACAATATGCAGGGCACAGGTAACAGGTCACGCGTGCAGGTATAGAGGGTATAGAGGTCAATGCTACAGTAAATAAACAACAATAAAAAAAGTGTCTACCAGCCCTAATCACAAAAATCCAAAATAGAGTTTTACCTTAAAGGGAACAATTACTTGAACTTGTGACCTGTGACCTGTGCTTTGTATATACCTGCCAATCCAAACACCCAAATTTTCCCAGTCAGCTCACTAGAGTTGGAACCTGTTGTTAAAGACCAACTCTCGGAAGTGACTGTGACAACTCTTAGGGATAAGGTTTTAGAATTTTACATTGATTTCACTCTCCTGTAAGTGGCCATGTAAGGCACGGCTTGACTCTCTACATTTGCTAAATGTATCACACTTAGAATATGTAATAATAATACTAATTTAATCACTTATATTGTGCAGGTATTCATAAAAATGATCAAATGCGCATTACATTAATAACAAAAGCATGAAAAAAAAAAAAAAAAAAACTACAAACCTATTTACAATAAGCAAAACAATACAAATATATATACTTCTGCCATAAAAATCTAAAATATCGATACGTAGCCATTAAAATTCATTCAACGATAAGCAAACTTAAAAAGATACGTCTTAAGATTGCTCTCAAAAGTATGCAAGTTTGGAACACCACGAAGCTCATGCAGAACTTGGGCACAGCCACCTGGAAGGACCTATTGCCTAGTGTGACATTAGTTCTAAATGTTGATGATGCAAAATCTCACCCGACGATCTGAGGTTATATGTGCCTTACGATTTCAAAGAAACTATAAGTCCTCACTTAGCCTGAAATGCAAATAACAAAATCTTAAAATGAATGAGCTGGTTCTTGTGAAGAATGTTTAGTGACAAGAAGAAAGTATACATATTCTAACTTGCATGTTTATGGACCCAAACAATTAACTAATCCCGAATGGAAAGATATCAAAATTTTATTTCACTTTTCAAGTTGCATTAATCATTGTGTAAAGTATAATTATTATTTTTTTATCTTGTTCTTGCATAAACAATAAAGTAGCAAGGGGTGCCCGACAAAACAGCAAAGTGTTGAAAAATAAAAAAGAGTGCAAATAGCAACTTTTTAAGTCTTTAAAAAGCCCATCATCATTCTCATATGATGATGTTTTCATGTCTTTATTCATCTTATAGAGGTCTCGAAACTGAAAATTAAGAAAAAAATAAGTAATGAAATCACAAAGATCCATTCGATCATCGATTATTACTTTCAAGTGTTTCCCTGGGCACACTCAACCTTTTGGTCACAGAGCACAAATAATAATTTATTGAATTCACAAGTCACAATTGACGATAAAAAAAACCGCTAAATAGACGCATCACAAAAATACCCTTTTTTATGACCTTCTGACATCACCTCACATCACATGATGTAAAGGTTTATTAAAATGCATTGACCAACCCTTAGCTAGCCAACATGTGTCCTAAGTGTGATACATGTAAGGTGAAATGAGTTAAAAAGAATGCAAAAGCTAATTACTTGGTACATATGCAGGAGCAGGTTCATTTGTTATGACTACAGGTTGTCCTGCTTGGTAACTCCATTGTCCATCTGCAGGTTTGTACGGAGGTGGGGCTGACATTCTGCTTACTCTGTAAAACACAGAAGTGTCAAATTAAAAAATTAACATCATAAGGTAGGAGCTGATATTACAATAGCAAAGGATGGCTGTGGTGTGATCTCATTGCTCCAGTCTTCTCTCCGCATATTAACAGGTCTTTGAAGGGGAGAGACCAAGCTCACCGGAAATTTGCAACAAGTTGCAAGGCAAGCAAATACAATGTATACATGAGGTGCATTTGCAACTAAGTGTTAGCTTTTGGGACAAAACTTCATCAGTCAGTTGAAATTTAGGGAGTAGTTTATGGCAAGGTGATCAGTTTAATATCCAGAACACTTACATCTGTCCAGTAAATAAATGTTTTAACTTTATAGGCAAGATCCTTTTCAACTTAACATTGTGTTGTGATTGCCAACTTCCTTTGTCAAGAAGTGTATGAAGGGTGCACTTTTCGTGTTTGAGCGCAAGTATGAGTCACATATAAGTGTAATTTATTTATATTTTGCACCTAAGATTTTTGAGCTAACAAATGAATTTCTTTTAAACTTACAGCAAATTAGTGAACAGAAACAGCCTTGTAACAGCGTTCCAGTTAATTCTTTCAAGCTGGGGGTCATGTAGACCAATAATATTCTGAGGGGTCACCAAGACCATGTGCTAATTTTCTACATTACATTTAACTTAACACTTATTTGTCATATGTCGGGTCAGAAACCCTTCTTTGTGACCCAAGACCCGTCTCTTATGTGGAACACTGTGTAACAAGCACGCCTCAATGTGACTGAACCATTCTCAAAGTGCAAACCAAACTTCAGAAATTTTTATGGCAGCCAAGCTGGGAGTATAGTTTCTTTGAATTGTGAACAGCTTTGCAGACCCTCTTTTTGTTTATGGTACAAGTCAATGGAGGCTAATAACTGGGGCAAGGGGTGAGGGCTTATCAATAGGGGTTCTTATAATAAGCAACAATTTACAGTATACACCTAGCCTGAATTTCATTCGATTGCTTCGAGTCATTTTCTCCTCTCAACGTCTGAAATGAAGTGAAATTCAGGCTATGGTATACCCTTTTTGTTGAAATTTTACGATTTCTCAAATTTTTTCTTGGAGATTTTTGTGAAAGTTCAAACAGCAGAAGGCAATCACACAAAGTATACAGGAGTTAAGAGCATTTTCAAGGAAGATGCTGATTTGATTAGGGCTGGAATTTGATGAATAGCTTAAACTATATTGTGACATGATGATGTGTATTCCGATAAAGTGCATTTCGACGAAGGAGAACGCATACAAAGTTATTTGAATCTTTTTGCGTACCGTACACGAAGTAGTAACTGTTCTATATGCCAGGCAATTTAACAGTTTGCAATTTAACTGGTTGTACTAAATTCTATAACCAAACTCGGTCGCAATCACGCAATGAAATAAACACAAACACCGAACACTTAGTTCAAAAACACAATGATTTGCTTTAATTGAAAAGAAGCTATTTGGACCTTAACGAAGAAAAAAAAAGGAGACAAGACAGAAAAGCCAACAGAATCCTTACTTTTGATGGTAAAAATAGCAAGAAGGTCGAATTATAACATTGATCTCAGAAAACTTCACGTAAACAAAATCACCAGCCGCCGAAACCAAAGCGGCTCTAAATGAAAAACCTACCGACTCTCCGCAACCCTTATTCTTCTTTCGCAGGTCAATTTAGCATTCCAGTTTCGAAGACAAGGGCAATTTTGCTGTTTAAGATAAAGATTAAGCTTATCGAAATGTTTGAACTAAACAAAAGAATGCCAAGGATGCGATCCGCTGAATATCAAGCGGCAATCCCGCTAAAATTTTTCATAATAATTTTTTGTACATAATTATGCGAATTGTTGAGAGGAGAAAACGACTCGAAGCAATCAGATGAATTTCAGGCTATTTTTTTATAGAGGAAAATTCCATTCTCAGATAATTGGATATGTAGATATTGTGTTAACGATGCATTCTGCACACTGCATTTGTTTTAATGGATTCAAGCAAGATCAGCTTAGATCGGCCATATTTACAAAATAAATTACATCTTTTCGCTTTTAAAAGCTATTTACAGCATTGTATTTGCTTTTATTTGTCACCAATTTTGAAAAATTGAAAAAGTTGAACAGTAAAACGTTGACCTTTTCATCTCACTAATTCCCGGTGCGTTGAATGAGCTGAGTCGTGTTAGCCTAGTGTCACGCAACCAGGGTTTAAAGTGATACTTGACCCTTAAACTTTCCAGATAACTTTAATTTTTCTGTATCCCAATTTTAGCCAATTTTATTGACCATCCTAGAGTGCAAAAGAATATCCTGAGGATCATAGTCAGTGTTTGACCTGCTGTACTTTACTTAGAGGTTTAGCCAAGTAAATGTAAAAAGTACAGAATGCTCTTGCATTTTTGAGGAAAAATGAAATACCGTATTTACCCATGTATAATACGCACTTTTTTTCCCTGAAATCAACCTTCAAATTTACGATGCGTATTATACACGGATTCCATTTATTGTTTGGTCAAGAAAACAAAAGAAGACAAAAACTTTGCAGTAATTGGTGTTTAATAAACGTAGTAAAGTAAACTACCAATGAACTGTTTTCAATTTCGATCCATGAGTAAATTAAAATGCCTATTTAAGAAACAGCTGATCGAGGAAAACAACATGTGAGTTTGTCACTATAGCGATCATGGCTACGAAACTTACCACTTCAAGTTACAAGATTTGTAAAACGTTTGACTTTTATTAAATAAAAAGGCGTGTAAATAGGTGCTCGGTGCATGCGATATTTGTAGTTTGTTGTAAACATGTCATTAATGAACTCCCAGCTCTTGTTAATTAAATGGAAAAATGGAAGTTTTACCTCTTGGTGTTTATCTTGAAATCTTTTTTTTTAGACTAACGTGGTCAAAAATTAGGGTGCGTATTATACACAGGCGCGCATTATACATGGGTAAATACAGTAGTAACGAATTGTAAAGTGGGAATAACAATAACACTGATATATAACACTGATAAAGAGAGCTGCTGATATTGGTATTGATAAAACTGTTTGATTTTGATAACTCAATATTACAAGCCCATCAGGTTTTGCACCCCCTTCTCAGTAGCACTCACTAACCCCCTTCTCAGCAGCACTCAACCCACCGCCCCCCCCCCCCCCTCCCTATTGAATGCACTCCCCTAATTTGCAATTATTACTAGTACCATAATAATTTAATATTGTTCGGCCTTTGTGTAATTCTTTTTTTGTTACAAGTCTCAACTGGTTTACGTTAAAGTCTTGGTCTATTAAAAAAAGGTTCAAAGTTGTAAAGAAGGTCAGCTTATTGAAAATACTGGGTCGAGCCACCACAACAACTTAAAGTAAAATTCGGCTTTCGTATAATAATTGATTTGAAGGAATATGCAGGTCGAGGAGGATGTTATCCAGCCTGGCTGCCTAATTCTTCTCATCATACTCATCCTCATTCAAAAATAATTTACGCGAAAAGAGCGGAAATAAGCTTACTTCAAGATGGGTACCTAACCTGAGCTTTCACGTCGAGATAACTGTGACCCAAAATGAATCTGTATGGAGAAAGGAAAAAACATAGCAAACTAAGCTAGAAAATAAACTTCAGCTAAATGGATAGCTATCTCTGAACGAAAAATGCCAGTACCTGAAATAAAATACAGGAAAATGAAACTCAAGAATTGACTTCAACACAGCACGTACATTGCGCACATCCAAGCCTGCTGTGAATGATGACATCACAGTAAATATTTGTCATGTGACAAAACATATGTGGGTCCCAAAAGCTCCCCTGCGTACCCCGTAAGAAATATTCCTACCCTCCTCTTCTAGATCGTAATTGTGTTAAAGTGTATTAAATTCTCTCTTCATTTAACGTTTTTTAACTCTTTCTTTTACAATGAAAATTGTACTCATTCCGTTTTCAGTGAGGACTAGGGGCTGTCTGAAGGGCACACTTTTAGTGTTTTGCTAAGGTAGGGTGAGACAACTTTGGTTTGCATTTCAGTCAAAATGGCGGTCAATGTGGGAATGTGGAACGTTCTTGTAATGGGTTTTGCCTTCATGTTCATTTTTACAGCCTTTCAGACGACCAGCATGATCGAGGTGGGTGCATTTGTTTCATTTCATTAAGTTCCTATTCTAAATAGGGTGCTAACTGCTGAAATGATTATTTCCCGATTTATTTTGTGACCTTGTCAGTTGTCTAAAGCAGCTTGGTCTTTGAACAAATCAAAACTTTGGAATTCGTTGGTTTATTTTACCAAAAGTACTTCACTTTCCAGCTTTTGTATTTTATTTTCTCCTGTAATAATCTTCCCTATATCCTCCTTTTAAGAGAATTCCAAGACAAAAATCGAAAAATCGACCGTGACGAGGTCTTTCGTTATCACATCGTTCTACTAGAAATCATAAGATTTCGTACCTGCTACTGCTTTCCGTGTTGCTCTTCCTCTCTCTAAGTAAATTGAGTCGTCCTTATGTTTGGTCTCTTTCAATATGTTATAAAAATATTGAAAAGGCTTAAAAATATAGGTTATTAGTGAATACTCAGTCAGTGACAGCAGGCTAATAGCTAGCCTGAAAGGCGTAATCCCATCTCGTCGATAATATATAGATTCAGCCAGGACTAAAAGGGAAGCTCTCGATAATATTTATGGTTTGTTCAAACAAAATATAAAATCGTGTAATGCTAAGTGGTGAAGGCAATGCTGGAGAACGGTGAAAAACAACAATGTGTCTAATTAGCAAAAAAGCAACTTTGCACGTGCAGCACACTTTTTTTGTATATTTCTTTGTCGTTGTTTTGCACGACTACAAGGTGAAACTTCCAGAAACTTCTTAGTTACACGTTTTATGAAGGAACTGTTGTACGTGTTCTCATTCACTATTTTCACTGTCGGTCATTTTCTCCTTGCATTGGTGGTCGCTAGTATTTCTCATTTTGTCACCGCCGCTACAAAATTTTCATGTTGTTCTTCCAACAAAGAAATGTATCCTCTGTTTTTTATCTCTCGCTCTAGATCTCTGTCGCCCTTTTCCTCATTGAGTTTTGCTGGCCTGCCGCCTACTTTCTCTTTTTCTCTATCTTTCTCTGGCTCTATAGTAATATATATTATTCCAAATTTGTGGACATGAAAATTGATTTAAGCTTAATGCTTTAGACAAGACGGATACAGAAACAATTTTTGCTTTCCATTTTCGTCTTTATTGACTCTTAGTTGTCTCTGCTTTACAAGATGCTGGTGGCAATGGGATTTCCTTCCAAAACAACCTTGATTTACATTTGGGTTGCCATACCTGCTGACTGAGTTATTTTACATTGGTATGCCTGTGGTGTGGACGGATGGGCACTTAGTCAGTGTACGGTCGCGTGATTACCAAATTTTCTTGGATGGGTAGATTTACTTAGCAATGGTGCTGTGCTCGCCCACGTGTGGGGCTCCACTATTAGGTTTTCTGCGTTGAGCGCACAAGGTTCTTCCCAAATCTACTTCTTCAATACTCTTTAATGCAATTCGATTACTGTTCGTCTGTCAGGGACGGACATATACAAAACCCAGTCTATGGACCACCCCTTTGGACCTAGTCCATGGACCACCCCTGTGGACCACCTCTTATTTTTGAAGATGAATTTTTCCTTTGGTGTAAAGAAATAATTTAGGATTAAACCTTAAATGGAAGAAATTATGTCAATTTATGATTGTTATCAGGATTAAAGGATTTTAGTATCTATTTTTGTACATATTATTTTACAATTGTAAGTAACTATACTACTTTACAATTGTAAGTGGCTTCAAGGCTGCTGCCTAATGGGTGCCCAGTCACCAGAGGCACCTACAATTTACCCTCAGGCGACCAAAATTTCAAACAGGGAGCCTGGAGGGGTGCCTAAAACTTGATTCTCAGGCTAAATTTTGATGAACAAACAACAAAATTGTGATAGGTCAAAAGGGAGACTTAGGTTTCGAGAAGTGTGAATCAAGTTTCGAGGATCTGGTCGAGGCTGTGAACTTAAGATACATATATGTGCATGCATTAGCACTCTTTACACTGCAGCTGGGGTGACAGGGAATCTCAAATTACCTTGATGTTTAAGTGTCATGGTGGGACATAACATGCACTACAGGGTGAGGTTTTTTCCCCTTCGCCACTTTAGAAGCAAGAAGAGAGCTGGAGCTGGAGCTGGAGCTGAAATGCATCCAACAATTGTTTCTTGTATTATTATGGGGGGCACCCCGCTCTATTGGCCAATTTTTTCCCTTTCCCTAGTAACAGTCCCAGTGGTCTTTAACTCATCCCAGTTTCCCTCTTGTGTCTAAATTGGGGAATATTAACTAGACGATAATGATCTTATACAGTGGAACCTCGATTTAACAAACCTCTAAGTAACGAAGGCCTCAATGTAATGAGCAATTTTTTTTACCCCAATAATGGTAAAATATGTGAAAAAGAACCTTGATATAACGAAACCTCGTTATAACGAACAAATTTTTGTCAGTCCCTTGGTCCTTCGTTAAATCAAGGTTCCATTGTACATATCATAGTAAGTCTGTGGGCTTGGTACCTTTTCTGGTGGGACAGCCAGTTCATGCAACTACCACTCTCTGCGGAATCAGATCTAAGTTCAGCTAGCATTTCTAAACAATTATTATATGTGTAAAACCATGTTGTCCTTCATTTTACCATTTCAGTTTTTTTATGTTTGTCTTGATGTAAGCAAGGGTCCTTACCTACACAGACGTGCCAAAGCATGGGTCTCACTAAAATTGAGTGCTCAACAATATTAATTTTATTTTGTAACATTTTGTATGTAATTATTCATCAGCCCACAGTCCTGCAGAAATACAGGAACAGTACTGACCCAGAAAGTAAGAAACAAGTCTATTAATTTATATATTGTATTTTATTTAATGGGTTATTCCAGAAAAAATCCAAACCCCCACGACCGAAGGCATGGTTTTTTGACCCCCCTATCCACCTGGATTTCCAAAACTGCTTGAGGCCCCCTCCCCTCAGGATTTCCAAGTTCAAAGACCCCCCCCCCCTTCCCCACCCATCTGGATTTCTATAAAATTGTTAGACACTGTGATTTTACTTTACACTCAATGTAGAAGAATCCTTTTAGGCACTTAGATGATCTTTTTATTAAATAAGTTTCAATTTTTCCATGAACTCTGTGTTTGTTGGGAATGTTAAGATTCCATTTTCACATCTTCGATTCTACAAACGTAACGAGGGCAAACCTATGGATCGTCTGTAGTTTGAAAGAATAATAAAATTTGAAAAGGCAAAGGAATTATTTGAAAACTTATCGATTGAAGCAGTTGAAACATTGATGAAATTGAAAGTTACCCCCAAGGATGTATTTTTAGGTTCAGAGCCCCCCTCTCCTCTGGATTTCCACAGCCGTTAACTCCCCCCCCCCCTCTTGTGAGATTTTCCAGCATGCCTTCTGTCATGGGGGTGTGGATTTTTTCTGGAATAACCCAATTTACCTGTGCCAGCTGTTGACAGGGCAACTACAACAGTGCCAATAACAGTCCCCTTCTCTCATGAAAAGTGAATTACACAGTCAAGGTCAACATCCTCTACCTTTATTCATAAAGCAGTGCGAGTTTTTCTAAGTCCCACCTGAATTGCACAAAGAGTGAAGGGAGGTCTTCAGTGGTAATGGCTGAATGTCACCACTTGAGGGCAGTACTGTACAGACCCAACTTGGTAGTCTGGCAGTGTTAGCTATTTCTTCCATAATTTTTAACTTTTACAAAATGGCTCGCAATTTACAGACTATTTTATTGTTACTGTTCGTACCATGAATGCTCAAATAATAGTGCCCAGGGCGCTTATTTAATGTTCTATGGTGAGAGGGGCTGCTCATTCGCATTAATTTTGTTTATCAATTTTTGGCCTCAAAATGGCACTATCGTTATTTCTTGTTAACCCAAACTGTAACATATAAAAATTCAAAAACATTGTAGAAAATTACCTGTTGTGAAACTTGAAACGTTCGCAAGATGTTTTCCTGTTGCCCGTCAGAAATGGATTGTACCTCTTCCAATTATAGAACAGTTCTAACAATGCATTTGGTATCATGAAATGTTTTGTATAAAAGGGCAAACCTCTGGTTAATGTTCTAGTATGAATGTCACATTCATTTAAAGTACAGTATACGTCTTGTATATATCGTACCGAGTACAGAACCTCCTTTTTTCTCTGGGGTGGGGGGGTATTTGATGAGGGGTGCAGTGCTTATTCTTATAGTTGTAGAGATAAATAATCTGTAAATATACATGTTACAATAAGGTTATGATATATTACTTTTCAGGAAGGATAAATGGATATGTAAGGTAGGTTTGATGTTATGACATTACTATATAATAATAATAATAATAATTTAAACATATTTATGCAGGATTGCTGCTTCAGTTTTAAAAAAAACTGCTATCAATGCAGGTCCTGTAAAAAATTAAAAATGAAAAAATAAAAATAAAAAAGATTTAAAATATAGATAAAAATCAAATCACAATATTACAAAATAGTCACACCAAACGAAAGATCGAACAGTTATAAATTCTAAGAATTATTAAAAATTATTAAAAATTTTCGCACCTTTGTAGATATGACATGTGTTGAGGCCTCAAATGTAATAAGTGACCCTAAATGTAATAAAGGTCCTAATTGTATTAACTTTTGGCCCCAAATGTAATAAAGGTCCTAAATGTAATAACTTTTGGCCCTAAATGTAATAACGGGTCCTAAGTGTAATTCTTTCAGCTCTTATTATGCTTATGGTCATAAGAAGATTTCATAGTGTTGGCTTTCAGCCTTGTTACAGGTTAACTGAGCGCATGAATGTGTGTAGGGAAGAATCACTAAATACACCAGGCAGATCCCCTATATAGCCATTTGAGTAACAACTTATTATTATTCATGTGGTGAACTCCTGGAAAAAAAAGTTAGCATAAAAATTCACTTCAAGAAGTACTCCTGGTAGAAATTAAAATCAAAGTCAGGAAGTCCGAAAAACTATCAAGATATACTGCCCTTAATATCTTGCTGTTTATATATAACTTCGTGTTCACAGCATTCTGTATGGACCGACCGATATACTCTTTTGGAAAATGATAAAAAAAAACCATTTCTTTTTTTGGCGCAACATTAAAAAACCCCATAGGCAAAAGTAGTTAATTTACTACGACTGTTTCTAATGCACATTAATACTTCCTTCAGATCAATTACTAAATTACTACTGTATTTTGAAAACTTTTGTGTAGATTCCAGTTGTTTATAACTCGCTTTTTACGATGTAGGGATCATGTAGTAGGAAACACGATCGAGACGTAGTTAATTTATAAGTGTTTCTCCTACTTCTTGAGCACTCTAGCCGCTTTTTAAGTTTATGAATATCTATGAAAACTACATTAGGGCGAAGAAAGTGAATCACCTGGGGAATCGCCAGCTGGCTATAAAATTAATATCGCATCAGACCGTCGCATGTTTCAGTCAGCGACTTTATCAAGTTTGGGGTTGTTATACTACATACATGCAGTATACTGTTAAGACTTCCATTACATTTAGGGCTAAAACCTATTATTAAAAACTGAATCATTGGATAATGCAATTCTAGCATTTTGATTGGCTTAGCCGTTATGGTATATGAGCTATTATACCATGCTCTCCATATATGGTCGGTGTACGCGTCAGTTTAAAATTGGAAGCTAGCTGAGATTTTTTTTCGCGAAGGATAGAACGGCGCCTGAAGCAAATCGTTTTAATTCATTTCTTGGAATACTAGGAAATGCAATTTCAACGAAAAAAAAAAGACAAAAACAAACAAAAAAGCCACAAGAGCTTGTTTGAAAGTTTGTCGAAAAACACATGAAAACACATGGAACTATTAAAAGTACCTTGACCAGCTACGAAAGAAGACAAGTGCTGTTTCTTCATGATCGCGAAGCCATTCGCCCATCGAGTCACTCGCCGATAGATAACTATGGCTTGTTTATTCGACATCAAGAATATAAATCACAAGTAACCAGCTACAAATACAGGCTATGCAGCCATTCACTAGTCAGAGCAATCGAGGGGGCAGTATCTAGCTTCTTTTCTCGTTCAGCAAAACCAGCTCGTGGCTTCAAATAACTTCATAACAAGCGACCGAGGTAATAGTTTTTCTCCGTTATTCTTACTTTTATAACTGCACCGAAAATCCAACGTCACAGTAATTTCGACGGCTGGCACTTAAAAATTCTTTTCCTTCACATTATCTGCCAGGTTTTTTTAGCTGTTCTGCTGTGTAAAATCCTAGAATCCCGATGAGTTTTTAAAAAACTAATGTTCATCGCTACAATGTTTTGATTTTTCATTCATGCAGTCCAGGCAGTCCGTTCGTGCGTTGACAGTTTTGATAGACGTGTGACATGTGAATAGCGGAAGTCCCTTGTCTTTTCCGGTTTGTTCTAGTCGGGGAGATTCAACGAGATTTTGTGGGCGTTTTTAATAAAACAATTATTCCACTCGCGCTTGTTGGATATGAGATGATTATAGCCAACTCGGCGCAATGCGCCTCGTTGGCTATCTATCATCTCATATCCAACGCGCCCTCGTGGAATAATTGTTAATTACACATATAATATATATATTATGAGACGCTTTATTACATTTAGGGCCAAAAGTTGTTACATTTAGGACCTTTATTACATTTAGGGCCAAAAGTTATAACACTTAGGACCTTTCTTACATTTAGGGTCATTTATTACATTTGAGGCCTCAACAACATGTGTTACACGTAAGTTTCATCTGTAGTTCAGGGCTGTGCTCTAGCCGAGCCCTGTGGTCCCTGGTACCTGACTTTTGCTCTCGGGTGACTAGAAAATCTTGGTTTTTTCATACAAATCCAAGGCTGTGTTCTAAGGAAAATTGAAGGGAGCCCAGTGTTCTGAAACTGTGAAATCTAGGGCACCTAGAAAATTATTTGTATGAAAAAGACTAAGATTTTCTGGTCACCCAAGAGCAAAAGTTAGCGGCCAGGGACCACTGGGCTCTGCTAGAACACAGCCCTGCAAATCATATTGGGCACCCTGGATTTTACAGGTTCAGAGCACTGGGCTACCTTCAATTTTTTCTCAGAGTGCTCACAGTCTTGTTGTTCAGTAATGGTACAGAACAAACCATCTATGCTTAATCCAGGATTACATCTTAATGACTTCACTAATAATTGTGTTGTATTGACCTTTTGAGACATACGTTCACTCGGGATGTATAATTTGTTTCTTGAACTTTGCGAAACAAATAACATTCATAGATAAAATTACAGGTCTTGATAGAAGAATTCAGACCTCAAGTAATGACAGTAATGACAAACAATCTTTTAGCTGATTGGCACCTGAGGCTCAAGTTTGTGGATGACATGTCTGCCATAGAAATACTACCCGGGAAGTCTGCTCAATTCGGCGGTATCTGACATTCACAATTTTTCTATGGATCACAAGATGAGACTAAATCCTATTAAATACAATGTAAGGAGATGTTAATTAACTTTACTCTGAGATCACAAAATTACATCTTACACCTGAAATTTTCAGACTTTTAACTGTGTTTTCACAATTCTTGTGAACTTTGACATTTATTTTCTCGGACTGCCATGAGAAATTTTCTTTGGTGTTATTACAGAGATGTAATTATTACATCTCTAGCATTTGAAAAATGTAAAAAAGAATGCAATATTCTTTAAATTATTCTGGTACAAGGTTTTTGTCCACTGAAAAGTAAAATTACTCAGTTTCATGGTGGATTCTGTCTTAATTACATCCAAAATCACTAACGAATATGTTTGTTGTGTGCTGTTGTAGCTTGGGTATCATCTATTCCATGTTCACTGTTGCTAACTGGCTTGCACCATCTTTTGTTGGTTTATTTGGACCAAGAGTATCCATGATAGTTGGTGGCATCTGTTATGCGTAAGACATTTTTAATTTAACTTCTGAATTTGTAACAATTATTGATAGGATGAGTGGATAAAAATCCCTATGAAGAGTCTTGTGATCAAATTAATGTTACATTCTTCCTTTGTTTCATTCAAGAAAACAATTATTGAAAGTTTAAGAATCTTAGAGTTACAGTATTTACAAGTCATAAGGGGCTTTTTCACTAGGCACCTATTCCATTATAGTGGTACCTTTAGAATAACTATTAAATAACTATTAATATTAATTATTAAGGAAACAATTTTTAAACTATATATATTATTATATATATTATGTTGTTTGGCAAAATAATATCTATTGTATAGTTTAAAGCAAATCTTGTTAAATTAATGTATTCAACTCGTTCACTGCTGAACTGCCCATAACCACCTGTGCCTTGCATTGTATCTGACATTAGCAGTTTTAATTGTCATGGGTCAGTGGAAAGAAATCTTTCAAACCATACCTAAATAAATTACAATCTATCAAACAGGTTAGAGAAAGTGCTTGACTTACAGTGTTTTTGAGCAGTTTTCATTCTTTTTGGTAACCAGAAAATGGCTTTACTATTATAGCAGTGTCAAAAGTTAATTTCTGGACAAAAAATTCTCAGCGTGAATGGAATAATAATGTATAAAAGAGCTCTGAAAAAGCAAGTGAATAAACAAAATAAGTAAACAACCGAAATTACATGTAAATATGGTAAACAAGTAGGAAGCTTCTTCAAGCTTTGGACATTATTTATTTTTTCACAGTTGCGTGAGTACACTGTATAGTCTCTCAGGTTGCAGTGCAATAAGTATGTGTAATCAAATGGTGACGAGTGAAAGTAGGGAATAATTTCACGTGTGTTTTGTCCCAATCTTAATTATTAGCTGAGCCGTTAACAACCGTGTATAAATATTATGGGTGAAGAATTACGTTCTCAATCATGGATTTTTGACAGGTTTATTCCAGTTTTATCTAATCGATGTAGAACTCCATGTTCTCCATCAGTTTAGAGCTTACACTTTGGCTTAAGTTCAAAATTTTCAGAATATTGCAACAAAATACTTGTAAGAATCCTTGATGTGCTCTTTTGTGCATTAAGGTTTTCTAAAGCTTCTAATTTAATGTCCTGACATTTTCAGTCATAAACTTTTAAAACTTTGTTGCCATCTTGGTACTGAGATGTGCACAAAGTTGTCATCATGGCAATAAATTTTGTAATTTCACTTCTGAAATCATAAATTAATTGCTGAAATTTTGTGCCAAAATTAGGGAGTAATTCCTCACCCTTGATGTTAAAGAGGAAAACTGTTAATGTTAAAATTGTAATTAGTATTAATAATTATCCATGAAGTTGTGATTTTTAAACAATCACTCATGTTAATGTAATATTATTGTATTTTTATCCTATACAGTTTGTTTATTGCAAGCCTCATTGAACCAAGGGCCTGGAGTTTGTATCTTGGGTCCATTATTATTGGATATGGAGCAAGCGGTAGGTCAATTGAGTTATAAACTAAGTAGATTCAAGGCTGTGCTCTGAGTAAAATTGAAGAGAGGCCAGTGCAGCAAACCTGTAAAATCTAGGGTGCTCAGTTTATGACTTACATGAAAAAAGATTTTCCTCTGGCCCGAGAGCAAAAGTTGGCCGCCAGGGGCCACCGTTCTCCTGCTAGCACACAGCCCTGCAGAATAAAAATGTAATGATTTTAACGTATGGTTCACAATCAAGTCACAAGTGGAATGTTATGAAACATTATTTTGTTATTATTTTATTTTTAGTAATATGGACTGGTCAAGGAAATTTTTTGACTATAAATTCAACTCCTGACACAATTTCCAGAAACAGTGGAATATTTTGGGCACTGCTACAGTGCAGGTATGTGTGTAGTTTCTTACAGTAGCTGGGCCAACTTGGAATTGAGGACTAAACAAAGGAAGTTACGAATCAATCTAATTGTGGGTAAAATCAAAATTAACCTGAAATCAAATGTAAATTGTAACGTATATACCATAGTTATGATTAATTTAGACTTTTAACAAAGCTTTATGTTTTTGTTGTAGCTTGCTCTTTGGAAATATGTATGTCTACTTTCAGTTTAAGGGTGAAGAAACAGCAATAAGTAAGTAGGTGGAGTACTAATATTATGATTATCATTGATCATTCAAAATATTTTACTGTTTCTGATTGGCACAAAGCCTCTGGCTAATTCCTCATAACCAACTGGCATTGACCAAATTTGCAAGTTGCGAGTAATATACCATTGATTCAATGGAATATTGACTTGGAAACGAGGTTGGTCAGATTATTGACTTTGAAAGGAGGTTGCTTGGGCGATAGACCAGCGATCAACTTTGTTTCCAGGTGCAGCAGCTTAACTGTTTATTCGTGAGTGAGCTAAAGAAAATGTTGTTCACGTGGCTATCCAAAAACGAAATACGTGTAGCTGAATTTCTGACTGAAACTGAATGGAAGGAAAGCAAGAATATGCAAAACGTATCGCTCAGTAGATGCTATCCACTTTTTGAGGAGTATCTGCAAAAAAATACCTGTGTTTATATTTTGAAACTGTGCCAAAGGCCAAAGTTTAGAAGAAAGTCTACCAGCAGGTAAGCTTATTAAGAACTTAAAAATATTTTGGATGAATAATAAACAATTGTTGAATTCGGCTTTCGTATGATGTGAAGAATTATGCTGATCTCGGATGATGTTATCCGCCTGGGCCTTCAGCCTTGGTGAATAACATCCCCTTCGATCTGCATAATTCTTCACATCCTACTCAGCCTCATTCGATAATAATTGCTTAATGTAACAAGGTCTTTTAATGGGCAAGAGCAACAAGTGACAAAACTGGTGTCACTACACTAGTAAGTGAATCAATTTCAGTGCTGAACTATGACAGCAACAATAAATATATACACTGGAATAACAGAATGCAATGGGAAAAAATATAGCGGACAAAAAACAAGCAAATCATCCAGTTGGCCATGGCAATTAAGTATTAGTATGACAGTTGCACTGTTGTGTTAACCTACATGTTTATCTATTAAGGTAAAGAACGTTGACCATTTTGTCATTTTTTACAAGGTGACAGTGTGAGAAGAACAGTATATACAGTATTCACCACTGTGTGTGGCCTAGGAATATGCCTTTTATTCCTCCTGCGTAAGCCAAGAGATATGGTGAGTGTAACATGTCTGCTGTGGTGACCTGTTTGATTTAATCATCCATAACCAGCGATTACACCATGCCAACAAGGAATTGTATTATATGGCTGGAAAATTTAAGACTTGTTTCACTATGCATGTACAATGCACCTACCCGTACCTAATTTTTTCCAGGGTTTTTGGCATTTTTGTGGAAACGTTTACTTTGGGGGAAAAAAAATGAAAAAAGTGCTCTTTATTTGAGACGGGACCGCAATTTTACTTGGTCATCCGAGCCACGTGAAGGTCTAGCCATTTGCAGGACAAAGGCAGTACCTTCATTTCTCAGTCATTTTTAAGACCCTGAGTATTGGTCCGGCCCCAGCAATCAAACCCATAACCTCCCGCTCTTTAGTCAGTGCTCTACCGACTGAGCTAATCCTGCTGCGGTTAAAGACATAGCACTTGTACAAGCTCCACAAAATAAAGGAGGAACAGAAGTGAAAGAAAAAAATTGAAAAGTCCTTTGTGCCACCCTCAGAACTTAGCAAGTGAGCATTGCTGGGTTAACATGTAGACTAAGATTACAAGCTTACTTTTAACTTGTTTTCACAGATACCAGTAAGCAGGGATGAACAAGACAGGGAACTGAGTCAAAATATCAGGTAAATACGAAACTGGAAATTAATGTTCCTCTTGTAGTGACAAATGGCTTTACCTGTTAATATTATCATAGACTGCACGTTTTGCACAGATAATTTTGTTTTCCTGCCTATAGGGATGAACAAGACATGGACCTGATCAGTCAAAATATCAGGTGAACAATTGTATAACGAATTGTTCAGCCATAGAACCTCTGTACATGCCAGGTGTTATTACAGGGTTGGTTGACCCGATGCAGGTCAGGCAGCCACTCTTCGGGGGATTGATTTAAACTTGACACTAGCGTATGACAAGAAAAATAACTGTACATATCTTTTATTTTTAAGTGCAAGACACTTTATACCATTTTAACACCACAAACGACTTCTGTGGTAATCGATTGTTTGCAACGCTCAGCTTCTTTTGTGAACACAATAATCTAGAAACTATGCTTCAATGCCATGCACAATATGTTGCCCTTTGATCTCTAGAATCTTCTCTACTTAAAAGTAGCCATACTTTACACTTTATGGTAGCTGGTATTAGCTAAATGCCAAAAGGACAATTATAATATCTTGATAAACACGTATACATGTATGTGTATATTATGTGCCATTTATATGTCAAATATTTTTCTTTAAAAAAACACAGACTGAAGATATGTGATATTCAAGGACAAAATGTTAAAGCTCCATCCCTGGCATGGACACTGTCTCCCATGCAGGGAACTCACAGTAACGATAAATGTCCAACAAAAGCCAATGTTGCTTTTTATTGAGTGAGCAATAAACTGCCACCAGACAAATAACAACCTATTTACCGATAGCCTGAAAACGTAAATTTGTGGTCTTTGATACATAAATTACAGTGCAACTGTATGTTGGCATTTACGGTAACACAGCTATATTATGTAACTGTTATTTACTTGTTTGTTTGATTTTATTCACATCAGAAGGTCAAACAGTGTTAACTCCGCAAGAAGAACAGCCTTAGAATCATTAAGTAAGTGAATCATTTCTCCGGGGACACAGAAATTGGCACATAATAATTTGTACTCTAATACTACAGACAAAGGAATCATAATGATTGGCAGTTTCAAATAATTTTTACTTAGTAAACTTGTATGCTTTTTTTTCTACAGAAATTGCAGTCAAATTATTTTTCACAAAGGACATGTTGTTGCTTAGCTTGTGTTTTGCATATACAGGTGTGTACATTCAATTATTTGAATAATCTCAGTGATCTGACTCAAGCACTCAGATGTTGGTGCATTATCATCATTGTTCAGCGGCTGCATAGGCAGTCCCAGTCTTGAGCAAGCTCTGCAATTTGTTTGGGTTGAAGGATGTTATGTAAAAATCCTTCATGAGCAGCAGTTGTTAGATGTATTATTTAAGGATAGACATTGCTTTGTTGATGGCCTTTGGTCTTTATTGGCCATGACTTCTTCAATGTTATTTTTTATGCATGTTGATAGAGCATAGAATAATAATAGTAATATTATGATAATGATAATAATAATGATAATAATAATTTTAATAATTATTATATTATAGCACTATTTACATGAAAATAAGCAATAGCACTTTACAATAATTCCTTTAGTGAAAAATCTTATCTAAAATGATAAAAATATACAAAGTAAAATGTAAAATACAATTGAATAAAAAAATAATTAATTAATTATTTAATAAAAAATAAAATTAGTCTAACCTGCCCGAAAAAGGTGAGTCTTTGCATTTAAAAAAGATTTAATGACTGAATATTGTACAATTCGGCGGGCAAACTATTCCACAGACATGGTTCTGCAGCAGCAGCATGAAAGGATCTGGCACTGAGCATAGAAAGCAATTTTTCTCTTAAAGCAGCTCCAGTAAAAGACTTTTGTTTGATCTAAGATTGTAAGAGGACTTCGGCCTGACACTAACTAAATCACTAATATGACTAATATTAACTAATAACTAATATTATTATGGGTGAATGATACATGTGGGTAAGCATTATTTTCTTCTGCTGTTTTAAAGTTAGGGTGTTGGCCAGTTGTGCAACTGGTGAACCTTATTTGAAATTCTCCTTAACGCAACCACTTGTCTTTCCGTTTGGTGTGATGGGCTAAATACAACCTGTAATCTGTAATTGTATTTTTTGTACTGTAGGTTTTGAACTAACCTTTTTCAGTGGTGTGTATGGTACATGTGTAGGTAAGTTATAAAAGTTTACATTCTACTAGTGAGGGGTTTTGCTCACTTTACTGTCAGATGTTGTAACTTTTTTATTCCACTTTTATCTCACTGCAAGAAAACTGGAAATGAAATAGGTACATGGCGATCTTAGCATTGTTGCTCTTACCAGGCCGCAGTCTTGTTGGGTTTCTGCTTAAAAGTATACACAGGGCAGTAAAGCCAAGTGGATGCATCCCCAAGTGATGGTGCCTGATAGGCTTGGAAGTTTTTTTTAGCAGACAAGCAAGGAAACATTTTGGCATAACTAAAAGCAGTTCATACACATAAAATTATATTGTTTTTAATAAGCAACATTGACCTTTGATGGTCGTGCATAATGTGGTGTAGTGGCATGTGACTACTTTCTTCAACCACAAAACATTTTTCAACCTTGAGTAGTAACCTCAGACCATTATTATGGAGTATAGGGCCGTGACATGGTTGTCGTGGTAAACCACCACCTATTTGTTCCCCTTTTTTTCTCTTTTTGCCCTTATTTTTTCAGAAGAAGGGGCCATGGGGCTACCCAAATAAAATTCTTTGTGTAAAGAACACTGCAGCATAATGTTGGGAATTGGCTGAGATTTTATAATCAACCATCAGAAATAATCGAGTTGACCCAGCTGATCGCTCATCAAGTATAATCAGAAAGTCTGATATCCTTATTAGAATTCCATTTTCTTTCACCTGTGTGCAATTCAAAGTAATACATATAAACTTCAGATGTTTCGACTCAATGCCACTTTCAAATTACATGTAAAAACAGGCCTCATTGTGCCATGATTTCGAACACAACAAAAAGAAAACGATCATCAGTGGATTATAGCTGCATTATGAGTTTTTTTTTAAGAAAACATGAAGTTTTGATATTCACAGTCATTGACATTTGTATTGTGTTATCTAATTTAGGCAACACACTTCACTTTCACAATTCCAAGCGTCTGATTGGACTTGTAGGAATGCTTATTGGTTGTGGTGAGATAACTGGTTAGTGAAAGGAGTATGTAGTTTATTGATTCCATTTTCTGATTGTTACCATTACATTACAACGAACTTTCCCCTCTATGACCTCCCTTCCACAACATTGGATAACGTCAGTGTTGCATCCTGCCTCATTGAGAAAACATCGAACGTTTGGGTTTCCTTTTATGATCCTAATGTACATAACCTTCCGACATACAAAACTCCGTTCAGTTTCTAGGCTCAGGGTGGCACCTGAGAATTCAAAGGAAAATTTTTGAAACTGAAAATAAATGTAGAAAGCACCATTATAATAATTATCTGTTTCCCACTACAACACCCCTACTTTAAAGCTCTGTGAACTAGATAATACATCTCGGAGCTGGAAAAGCAGGACACTAACAAAGATGTAAGTTGCTGTCTTGAAGACTTGAAGCCTGAATAGGAAACCAGAAATAAGAGACAAATACCTATTAAACTGTAACAAGCTACATGTCTCTAAATTTCCGTCCACATGACAACAGACAGAATACTGTGGAAGGACCAAATTCTAAATTTTACTGTATTTTTTCAGTAATCATGCAGCATAACCAATGGAGTCAAATAGTGATTGTTTTTGGGTAGAACTGCTTAATTATTAGAAATATTATGACTGCTAGGATGATTGATTTTTCTTGCCAAATTTTCTTAACAGGAGGGTTAGTGTTTGGCATATTTGGCAAGAGAAGTAATAAGTTTGGTAGAGAGCCTATTGTACTTTTTGGGATGCTTGTTCACTGGATCTGCTTCCTCTTGATCTTTCTTAATCTTCCCGACATATCCCCCATACAAGCAGTTGGAACTACAGCTGATTACAATGTATTTTCTAAACCCAGGTAAGAAAAGTACTTTGGCATCAACATGTTTATTTTCATCCTATTTTGAGGATGGGATTTACTGGTATTTGAAGGCTGCACGTATGAATTAAGAAACCTCTTATTTGCTTTCCTGCGAGCAGAGGTTTCTTTTGATCTTGGTTTCCACAATTGCAAAATCGTTCACATCATTGGGATTCGCGTAGAAGGCTCGTTTACTTCTCCTAGAAGGGACGAGGAATTAGCGGGGGAGGCAAGCCAACTACACCATGCCAGTGACCGCAATGCAAACGACTTTGTAAGAGCTGAAAACCATGCCGGCAAGAAACCCTACTGGACAGGGTGCTGATTTGCCAGTGACAATGAAAGCACTCTATGTTGCTTCAGTCTTTTTCTTTGTTTTATTAAAAAACGATAATGTCAGTGATACATGTTTAAGTAAGAGATGTTAGTTTAATATGAAGTTCTACGTCGTTGTTTTGATCAAAGCAAATGCCAACAGCTCCCCAATTAAAATATCAGCTGTATTATTTGCACTGCAATTGTTGAAAATGTTAGTGGAAGCCTTTTTCTCTCTGCTAACATCTCTGATTTTATATAATTGCAGCTTACCGGTGGCAATTCTTTGTGGTTTCCTGTTAGGACTTGGTGATAGCAGTTTTAATACACAGGTATTGCGATAATAACAATTCATTTTCAGAGATTGTTCCCTTCATAGACCCCTAAGCAGTACTTACCAAACCCTTCCAACTTTTTACATGGGCCAGTTAGAGAAAATCTATCGACACCAGCGGAAAGAGCTCCTTAGAATTAGTAAAATTACCACATTTGAAAGTGGTATCTTAAGCGAGCGAAGATATAGGTCCGCAAAGTTGTGGAAATTTACAGTCGTTTGTTTTTATTTTATTTTATATTATTTTATTAGATTCGCCAATTATTGGTAGGGTCACGGCAACAGCATGACGCCAATTACTGCGGGCCCGTAACAGTCCCTCCCCCCATGAGAGATAGACCACCACACCGGGGAGTACGTCCCCTACTCTTTACGAAGTGTGTGGGTTTTTTAACGTCCCACAGAATTTATATATGCAAGGGTTGTGAGACGGGGCCTACGGTTTATCGTCCTTATCCGAGAAGACTAGAAAGTCTAAACGTTTGCAGATGTCTTTACAAAGGCGGTAATTTCTCCTCAGTTATTTAAAGACCCTGAGTGTTGGTTCGGCCGGGACTTGAACCAGCGGCCTCCCGCTCGGCAGACCGGCGCTTATCCAACTGAGCTAACCGGGCGGCCCCCCCATCATACAAACGTCTGTAAAATTTCGCGATTTTGAGGAGCTATGTCTTGGTTAGTTTTCAACAAATCACTTTCAAACCTGGCAATTTTTACTTATTTTAGAGCGCTCTTTCCACTGGTGCCGACGGATTTTCCCAAAGTTGCCCGCGTTTAAAGTTGAAAAAAACCTTGTTATTTCGTGAATAGAAGCCTGGGAAAAAGATATTCCATCATAAACAACTACCACAATATCTAATATAGAACAATGTTATGAACTATTAGCATCATATTTTCCGAGATAGATCTTGGGGAAGGAGAGCAGCAAAGTATTAAAATTTTGTGAGAGTAAAAAGTTATTAACATATTCAAACTGGAACTGCCGTAATCACTCATGATTGATATCCCTTGTACTGCTTGTGATTATCATCAGTTTCAACGGTCATAGACAACTATGTGTGGAATAAAAGCAACACAAAATACCATAAAATTAGTATAGGTAATAGCATGATTAGTAGTGATATTTGGCATAAATACCACGAGTGATATTTCAAAATTGTTATACGTAATTTCACAAGCCGGTAGACTAATTAAATTTGCGACAATTTTGAAAAATCACGAGTGGTATTTATGCCAAATATCACGTACAAAGTATGCTATTATTTGTTTATACTACTATCCGCAAAAGGTTTGTAATTTTCACATGTAGGTATTTCTAATTAAGCTGAAATACCACTGCTCTAAGCCAATTTCTCATGTAGTGGTATAAACCCGAGAATTCTAATGAAACTCTTGTTGCACTACCCACCTGCACTTTCTTTGGTTTTGCCAACATCTTTCCTCTTGCTGAAGTGAAGCTTAACCCTTTAAACCCTAAGATGCAAATTTGAATTCTCATTTGTCGCCCCAATTCATTTCCTACAGAAGTAGTGGGGAGAAGTGGTTAAAATATCAAACAAATTCATCTTGTGTGATAATGTCTGTAATTCTCATGACCACTCTGTTTAACAAAGCATTGATATTACAAGGAGAAATTTGATGCTGATCACTCTTAGGGCTTAAAGGGTTAACAAAAATGCCTAGCAAAAGACAAAGCAGGGCTAAGAAAGTGACAGAAGCACAGAGAAGAGAAAGCGGAGGGTAAAAGGTTAGGGGAAGTGCCAATATTCATCTCAATTTTGCTTTCTGTGCATACCCGAACTTTTCAAGGAGATATTCATTATTAGGAATTATTATTAGGATTATCAGGAACAGAAGGCAGCACAATGGAGATCTTAAAACTAAAAAACAGTATTTTTGGAAGTTTCTGGGTTTTTTTTGACCAGATAAAGACACGAAACAGCCGTAAAAGCTAGTTTCAAAGGCGTTTTGTCAAAAAATTATTTTTATGAGCAAATGGATGAAGATTTATAGGGGTTATAGTCGAATAATAATTATGTTGTAGTTCAATTTTATCCGTGCTCTGAATAATTATATTTTTCTTCGTTCAAAGTCATCATTACACGTGTTAAGTTACTTAAGCCGTAATAATAATAATTTAATATTTATATTGCGCAAAATACATGTAAATATGATCAAATGCGCATAGGAAATTAAATTAGTAATAGCCAAGGCTAAAGCTCAACCACAATACACGCAACTCTAATTCTACTGTTCAATTTAAAACTAAGTTAAACCGTCATATTTTATTTGTGAGATCATAATTATTATTTTTTTCAGATTTGAAAAACGTTTTTTGTGCCTTATGTTCTCGTTTTTGTCAGATTTACTCCATTTTAGGGTCTCTCTATGAAGATGATAGTGCACCGGCATTTGCTTTGTTTAAATTTGTTCAGGTTTGTTAAACTAGTTAACTTATATGTCACCAATCTGTTGCAAAGTTTTTCAGAAAAATTTTTTCTTGGTCAGATTTATCAGGTTTTTAAAGTATTCTACAAATTGATCAGGGTCTAGAACTGAAAATCGTTGGGTGGTGCAATATGTTTATGCTTTGAGACTGTACCACAAAATTAAAAGGTCAAGTCCACAAAATATCACACCTTCATTTAGATTCCACGTCATAAGAGCATAGGACTGTTGCTTCAAAACCCTAGTTTGGATGCTAGTGCAGCAATCAGAGGGTTCTCTACCAATGTTACATTTTTGATTTATTTGGCAAATGCAAAACTGTTTAAAATTTGAACAAGGAAATGATACAGTGGCACAATATCTACTTTTCAAACTCAGACATCTGGTTTGAAGTACAAGTTGTGTATATTATACTACTGTTAATACTCTGTGTATTTTTTACAGTCCCTTACAGCAGCGATTGGATTCTTCTACAGTCTAGACCTTCATCTCAAGTGGCAGCTTCTTATTCTGGTGAGCATTGAAACGTTAAAGAAGGGTGATCTAAGGTTTTCAGAAAGTTTAGGGACAGAAAATCAAACTATCAGTTTTTGAATTGGAAACCCTTCAAGCCCCATTCTACATTTCTCGTGACTTAAAAAGCCCCGTTCATATGAAGTAATTTATTTGCGTTTTTAGGTACCGTTTAAGGTAGCTGTGACGTGTGTAGGCTTGGCACTGTCTGTTATCCAATATGGAGTAGATAATTGACCACTCCATAAAATACAATCATAACATACCATAATGCTCTTTGTTTTTCACCACAAAATTTTGCATAAGCATTGTCTTCAGTTTCTCTTGGGAGTTAAAATGGCCCCAAGAGAAACTGAAAACAATGCTTATGCAAAATTTGGGGGTGTCAAACAAAGAGCATTATGGTATGTTATGGTATTTCTGGAGTGGTCAATTAAAGGAGAGCAACAAAACCTGTCATTGTCAGACTTGTAGTGCTGTCAAGGAAATGATACTTTAACGTTTCTCATCCCCCCTTTCCCTCCACGCCCTTCCTCTTCAATCCAAGGCAAGGGTGGATTTCCTTATGTAGGTGGGGTCTGTACACACCAGTGTCTTCTCCACAAATGAATTCTGATCCTGTTTTGTCTTTCTTAACAGATAATTTCTTCATTTAGTGGAACACTTGGTTTCTTTTTGGTGGAATGGAAAGCAAGGAGAATAGCTAATTCAGGATATGGTCCCCTTAATTAACGATCCACTTTAGTAATATATAATGATGTCATGTGAAAAGCAATGTATGCATTGTTCAATTTCCTTTCTTTTATGCCATTCAGGGAGTAACAAACAATGAATTTATCCATTTCAGGTCGTGGGTGGCCAGGGTTCTGGCAGTATGATTATACAGGGGATTCGGAAGAGAGTCAGCATTATACCCCACCCTTTTTTGAAGAGGGAAGGTGGTCACCGTCTTCTTAAATTAGTTTAGTTGTACAGATAGGAACTCTAAACTCCCTAAGACAGCTGAACTGAGACTCAGACAGGAGAGAACTAACGTGTACGCTGTCATACTTACATATCTTGCTGTCTTATGTATTTGTAGTTGCAATCGGCGAACATGCCCTTGTTAAATATGTAGTGTCCTTGAAATTATGGAGCAGCTGCTGTAACACTTTCATTGACATTTTAAACTTATCAGGGCCTATTCTATACAAAGAGATAGTGGATGGCTTCTAAAACCGCTTTAAACACTTTCCTTAATATGTCCTAAAGGATGTTGTTCAATAAAATTCAGTTTTAGGTACTTGTTACCCACAAATGGAAAGAAATTTCGAGCAATTTTCTGGGAATAATCAGATGGTTTATTCTGCTGCTCCACTTGAGGTTTGTGATGAAAAAGAAATTATTACTGTCCGTGATTGCTCAGAGTTGGTAGATAGTAAAATTTTGTCACACTCGTACACTCCCCTTGAAATTTGGGGCATTTATTTTAACAAATAAAGTAGTTAAAATAGAGTACATCTACCAGGATGATAGATGTAAATGGGAAATCGAGCTGGGACTAAAGTCCTTGTTAAAAAGATAGGTCTATTTTGTTGTTATTGTTGTTGTTGTTGTTGTTTTAAATTGATGGTAGTTTCACCAAATCTAAAGAAGGATAAGGTAGTCCCCCAATTCTAACGGCAGTTAGAGGGCTTAGATATACAATGCTATTTTGAATTACATTATTTTGCACACTTTTCTAGTGCTTGTAACATTGCCGTAATTAACTGTGAAAACTGTTACAATAAAATGCCCGAATTGCACTTGGATAATTTTACCAACTGACGTTTATCTGTCGTGACCTGTCTTTGAGTAGTTTTTTGTTTGGTTGGAAATAGCACGTGAATGCCTCAAATTCAAGCGATGCTATTATGTACATGATCTTCACTGGGCCCACAAGTCAAACAAAACAACTAAAGTTAAGTTCACTGTTTATTGGCCAGTAATAAACCACGTAACGGTTGCTTTTTTTTTTTCAATTAACCAATACGTACAAAACCATCAAAGCTCTTGAAGGAATTACTAGAAATAATGGTAACACCTTGATATTGCCGATAAATATTGTTCAGGGTACAGTACTAGTTTACACTGATGGCTTGTTTTCTCTGGCTATGTTTACACTCTACCTGATAACTTTTCGTGTCGACACGAAAGTATGAACACCTATCCCATATGTGACTCGTCACTTTAGAGTTCAACGCGGCGCAGCTTCGCTCCGTTACAGAAATCGCGCCGAAATCACCGTCCTTATGTGTGAACAGAGGTACTATCTGGTATGATTTTGATGCCGGCGCAAAAGCTTTATAGTGTGAACATACAATTATGAATGACAAGGTAGAGCAATTTGCAATTGAGTGTTGAAAGTAATCCAGGATTGAATTGGTTTTGCTTTACTGTGCTGTTTGATTGGTCTAGAAAACTCGCGCCACCCTCTCAGCCAATCAGATGTAAACTAAAACCAATCGCTCCTTGGTCACTCGCGTTTTCCCGCGCTACAGGCCGGTTACACGCGTTTACTTCGAGTTGCCATTGGCTCCCTCTGATAATTTCCTTTACTCTGATTGGCCGTTGTGATTACTTTGGTTTTGGTTTTCGACACTCAATTGAAAAGCGCTCTATTGATTAATGCAAACACAGAAGCTGGTTGAGGCAAATCCATATTTTGGGAATGAACATGTTTCGTCATTATTTCAGTATTTCAAAACATGAACATGCTGTTTTGCAACAAATTCAACGATGGCAAGTAGTAACTTCACTAAATACCTGCCTTGTTGGTCAATACCGGTTTTCAGCAGTATTAGGCCTGTTTCAAACGTCGTGCTACTGCCGTGCTAAGCTGGCTCGACTGCAGCACGACACTAGCACGACTTGGTTTCAGACGTCGAATTCAATTCAGTCGAATAGAACGGCTGTTGCCGAAAACAAAACACAGAAATCGAGAAACGGTTTAGCAAATTTTTCAATGTATTCCAATGTATTATAATTTATGAATTGAGTTCGGCACGACGGTAGCACGACTTGGTTTCAAACGTCGCGCTACTGCTGTGCTAAAATCGAATTTAATTCGATCAATTGAGTTCGGCAAGGCAGTAGCACGACTTTTAAAACGGGCCCTACGTGGTAGTGGGATCTTGGGAAGGATGGTATTTAGTATTTTTTAAATATCATCTAGTGTGATTGCTGTGGACTTGCTGAACGTCGTAAAGAGATTTTACGACTCATTAGGGCCATTTATACGAGGAAAAATAAGACGCGTCTTAAATAAGACGCGAACTTTCCGTATAAACGGCACATTTCGTCTAAAATAAGACGCGGCTTAGCTAAGACGCATCTTAGTAGATAAGACATGCCCGTATAAATAGTACAGTTCGCGTCTTATTTATGACGCGTCTTATGTAAGACGCGTCTTATTTTTCCTCGTATAAATGGCCCTATTGTATCTTATCGTATTCATTCAAGTGTGTGGCAGCGAATTTAAAGATACCTTAGACGCGTTTGACGAGCACGAGAACTTGTAATGATTCAGTGTAACTGAACCAAAAATCTACCCTTTTCATACTAAATATAAAGTTGCTGAGTTTTTTAAATAGTCCGAAAGCTGATGTTTGAGGGTTGTCCAATACACCCGCACCATAACGGTCCGTATACGCCATGTGTCGATCCGTACGGACCTTAGCTATCAACAAAAGGGGTATACGGTCTGTAAAGTGTGTTTTACGGTCCGTAAATTGCATCTTATTATTGGGAATATTTTTATGGCAAGAGTGGTTATATATGGCTGGCGTAAGAGTGGAAAACTGAACTCTGCTGAGAGGGTTTCATCGGTTGTTAGGCGTAAGAAATGATAATCGCAAAAAATTTCCCAAGCACAATTTTTTACCAAGAGAGTGAAGAGGTTGCTTTTTTAATATGTGCCCTTTTCTCGTGCGGGTTGTTAGATCCTAAAAATCTGTGTTTTGCACGATGAAAAATTCATTTCATTGTGTTGACTATTTCCATTTACTGTCAACCATTGACTCCCTCCATTTCACCGAGATCCTCTTTTGTTAACGGGAAGCTGAATCATTACATGCAAGGGTTGGCTGGGCAGAATTAAACCATAGCGAGGAGAAGTTGGTTTTTGATCCGTCTTTTCTTTCAAGTACATTCGCTTAATTTTTTTGCGAGACCACCTGTCTATTTTTCCTATACTTTAATATGTTTCGCGGATTCGTTTTTTTTTTTTTGCATAACGTGCAAAATATGCAGCAGAGAAGTTTAAAAGCAAATCACAGTATTGTTCATGCTCGACAATCTCCAACAGTCTCCTACTGATATGTACAGGAAATCTGGGTGTATTATTATTAATCTGCAGAAAGGTAGAGAGGCAACCCTAAGGGGGATTCATGCTCCCCTCGGTATTCAAGTAAAAACAGTTTTAATGTTAAGTACATATATTCAGCGAGCATTTTCTACGCCATTCAGATTATTTTATTCTCAAATATTTTTTCCTTTTTTTGATGTATAATCAGTAATCTTAAACATGGAAAGGTATACGTGATTCTTAAAACCTTTTCAAACACACTCTTTCTAAACAAAAAACGCCTTAGCCCTGAAGTCTTTTTAAAGTCCGATAAGAAAATACGTATCTTTCAGTAAAATCAGCTCAGTTTTTTTGCATTCGTTAACATAAATAAAAGTTATAGATGTCAGTTAACCACGTAATTACGAAGTATACAACCCACCTTAGAAATTTAGTGAAATTCTCGTCAATGACATAGAGACAGACATGAATCTTTATGTTTAATTTCCATGCACTTTTCAATCGTATCATGGCGATGTTTTTCATAAACTGCTCATCAGTTTACGGCCAAATTAAAGTACCGTGCACTAAATTGCTTTTGGATGCATGAGATGACGTGATGCATAGTATTAGAAACCGCTGGAAAAACACAAGGCGGAAATATTTCAAAAGTAAACAGACTCCCGTAAGCTTTAAAAAGCTTCCTTTTCCTTGAAGCATTAGATGGTGAGGGCATTCTTGGCGGAAAGAAAACTTAGTAGCCGCAGTGCTGTAACTAGACAGGAACAACTCAAGGAGGATAGTGGCTTCTTCCTAATATATATAGTTTACTGACAGGCAGAATGTTCAATATAACTTTCAACGACGTAAAGAACACAAGCCACGGTAAGGTACAAGAATGCTGCAATAGCTTAGACATTTTCTTCCGCGATGCCGACAGTGACATTATCACGATCTCAGACACTGTACTTTGCGTTGTTAACGCTATCTTCAGCATCGTTGCTGTATTTTCTAACCTCATTGTACTGTATGCCTTGTACAAAGCAACTTCACTAAATTCAACGTCAAAGGCTTTATTATGCAGTCTTGCTATTTCGGATTTGGGCGTTGGTGCGATTGTTCAGCCGCTGTTTGTAGCATACAGATGGATACAGATACGAGGCAATCTCCCGGACGCGTGCACTGTGGGAATCATATCTCACATTGTTGCTAGCCACCTTTCTGCCGTTTCGTTCATGACAATGATAGCCGTAAGTATTGACCGGCTCCTCGCTCTACTTCTTCTCGTCCAATACCAGTCTGCGGTGACACTGAGACGCGTAGTCATTGTTCTTATTTTGATATGGATTTCTGGAGGTTTGTGGGCTGAATCGTGGAGACGCAATCAAAGCACATACTCAATCATCAGTATCATTTACATTCCAGTTTG